CCCATAGGAAACCAAAGATTTCCCGGAGAAATCTCTGCTCCCAGAGATTTAGGAAACTAGATCTCTCTAGGAGGGCAACAGAAGTAAATATCTAGGTGGGGAAGGACCCCTCTTCTAGACCTGTGCTTCTCAAACTGAAATGTGCCTATGAGTCACCCCAGGATCTTATTAAATGAAAATTCTGATCCAGTGGGTCTGGGTGAGATGAGACCTGAGATTCTGCGGTTCTAACCAGCCATCTGGACATGTTGATGCTCTTGTTCTAGGAGCTAAACTTTTTACTGAGTGACATGGGTTCAGAACAGTGCTTTTATATGTGAATTTGCAAAAGAACTATTTGGAAAGCTCACCGACACACAGGTTTCTCTTCCCCAGCCCTAGAGACAGATTTCGTAGATAGGGCCTGATGATTTGCCTTTTAACAATCCCCAGGTGATGCTGCTAGTCCCTGGACTACAATCTGCTTAAGACGTCTGTAGTTAACTTAGAGCAGACTTCATTTTTGTTTTTTTTAAAGATTTTATTTATTTACTCATGAGAAGACAGAGAGGCAGAGACATAGGCAGAGGGAGAAGCAGGTTCCCTATAGGGAGCCTGATGATGGACTTGATCCCAGGATCCCAGGATCATGACCTGAGCCAAAGGCAGATGCTCAACTGCTGAGCCACCCAGGTGTCCCAGAACAGACTTAGTTAAGGGGACTCCACCACTTCTGCCAGTATCCTCCTTGAGAACAAAGCATCACACACCAGAAGATGAAGGAGGATGACACTGAGTCTTCCCTTTGGAGAAAAAAGTATGTAGCATACTTAGTATCACAGGGCCTGTGTTATTTTTTGCTTTGACAACATGCTGTTTTGAGTAAAGATTGAAAAGGATGCTTCTGGAACAAAATCTAGAGATAAGATTGAGTTTAAAGAACAAGTCTACCTGAAGTGGTGCTGACTGGCAAGCAGTGGGACTAGTTATTTTAGGATGACAAAGTTATGTCTGTGTAAAAAAAAGCTAAAACCTCAAATATCAAAATGTCAGTGGCTAGCTCTTAATGTCAGTAATGGGATTTGGGGGGGATGTTTACTTCTTTTTGTATACTTTTTTGCCTTACATTTTCTGCAGAAGACATTCAAAATACTTCTTTCACAACCTTAAAAAAAAAAAAAAAAACCCTCCCAGGTGTTTTTAAAGGGATAAAGAGAAGTATACGCCCTGTGCAAATACACTTTTTTTTTGTTTGTTTGTTTAGTTTTGTTATGTCTGTGCCGCCTGTGCTGCCTTTTTCATTGGGAAAGGGATTGTTTTGTCCATGATGGTCTCAGTGTCCCAGGGACAGAGGAGACAGGTAAAGGGTGAGGCCAAGCCATTTGCCTGGAAAATGGCAATGACGCCTGCCTGCGTGGTGAGAGCAAGGAGTCCCAGAGGAGAGGTTGTAAGTCACTAGGGGGAAATTAGAGGCAGTTTCTCCTCCTCCTTCCTTTTTCCCTAAACCATCCAGCTTAGCCACAGAGTCCCTGAAAGGACCTTTCTCACCCTTCTCCTTGGAAGGTCTGACATAAGCTTTAAAGTAGAATTGGAAAAGATTAGAAAATGAAGAGAAGAAGCTACTGGGGAAGTGTAGAAACTGCTGATTTAGACGTCTGAATCGAACTGATCCTTTGGGCTGGTTTCCCTACATCCAGGCTGCTTGAGCCCACTCAGGACGACTGGACCAGAGTGAGGCACTCAGTGTAATTGGAATCCTATCATGAACATGTCACCACTGAGCCAATGAGTGTACTCTAGAACGATCCTTCTAGAAACATGCAGCCCTGTGCTTGAAGACATACCTTTTGGGGCATTATGTAGACTGTTAACATATGTGCTTATTTTCAGCAATTCAAGAAAATATATCTAAGTCAGTGTTTTTTGCTTTTTGTTTTGTTTTGTTTGCTTCTCTTAATCTGGAAACATTCAATGAAGTTCATATGCATCTATTCACCCCAGTACAACTTTTCAGCTAAACTCTAAGGCTCTACTGACACCTGCTGGCATTTCATCTACTTTGTTAGAAACAACAAAACAAAATGCTTAACATATTTCCTAAAGTCTCTGGACGTTAATATGCTAGGTATCCATTACCTGGAAGACAGTAGAAAGCCCTGTGGGGCTTTTCCATGTCATGGAGGGAGATGTGTGAACAAGCCCAAAGGAAGGGAAACATCAGGGTTCTTCCTGCCTCTCAGCCATGTGCCAGCTGCTCTGTGATCTTGGGCAAGGCCCCTGACCCTCACTTTCATCATCACAAAGAGAAAAAGCAACAACCTCCTCATCCTGGTGCCCTTTGGGGCCTGTGATGATTCCAATGGCATTTCCTACTAAGTAAAGCATGAGTTCTGTCACTGGAGTGGTGACCTCAGAGGTCACTCCTGGAGACCTTTCTGTCACAATAAACAGGATTCTTCACCAGCATTGTATTTCAAAAGATAGATGAGTTGTTTAAACCTCCTCAAACCCTGGTATCTCTGTAATTTATTTTTAGAAACAACTAAATCAGAGTGCTCAGAAAAATCCAGTGAACAGTCTCAGAAATTGCCCAGTTTCTTTGCCCTAGGAAACCATGGACTCTGTTTCGTGTTTTGGAACACGTAACAAGCCTTCAGGTTGAGAAAATGCTGTCCAGTGAATGCCAGCCGAATTATTTATGTTTTTCTGTCTCCTCTTGGGAAACTCTGTGTGAGCCTGTGGTTTGTTAGGCCAGCAACAGGATATCTGATGGTCCCCACAGGGAATTACAGTCCCATATTTAGCCTGACAGAGGAAGTGAAGGCTGATGATGAAAATAATAAAGCATGTCTTTAATGCTACTATTGCCTTTATTCCTCCTCCCTCTGAATCCTGGTGTCACCATCAGGAGGCTTTCCATGCTATTTATGGTCCTCAGCAAATGGCCTTTTCTAGTTGCGGTAGGAAATTTACCTCTTCTGGCTCTTAAGTCCTCCTTCAGAAAACTGTTAGGTATGACCAGAGCATAAAGAGGAAAGCCAAAACTCTCTATTAGACTCACATCCATTAAGATGACTCTTTCCAAAACGAAAACAAAACAGAAGAGAACAAGTATCGACAAGGACATGGAGACATTGGAGCCCATGTGCACTGTTGGTGGGAATGTAAAATGACAGCTACCATGGGAAACAAAATGGTGGGTCCTCAAAAAATTAAAAATAGAATTACCATATAATCCAGTAATTTTATCTCGGGGTATATACCCAAAAGAATTGAAGGCAGCAACTTGAAGAGATACTCGTACACTCAAATTCATAGAAGCATCAATCACAATAACCACCATTAATCATATAGCAAACCAGGTGTCCATCAACAGATGAATGAGTAAGCCAAATCTGGTCATAGGAATATTATTCAACTTTTAAAATGAAGGAAATTCTGACACATGCTGTGACCTGGCTGAGACTTGAGGACATTATGCCACATGAAATAAGCCAGTCAAATTTGTCAAAGGGCAAATACTGTATGATTCTATTTTTATGAAGAACCTAGTATAGGCAGATTCATAGAGATGGAAGTAGAATGGTGGTTGCTAGAATGCAGGGGGCAGGGGGGGAGGGATGTTGTATAATGGGGACAGTTTCAGTTTTGCAAGAAAAAAAATTCTGGAGAAGGGTGCTGGTGAAGGTAGTACAATAATGTGAATATCACTTAATGTCACTGAACTGTTGACTTCAAAATGGTTCAGATGATAAATGTAATGTTATTTGCATTTTATCACCATAAGTTAAAACCACACTCTACAGAACTCCATCTTTACCTCTCGCCATTGCAGTGACTCAATCACTAGACCGTGTTAAACCTGGTGATACTGTGCAGCGCTGCCTGATAGAACCTGTACTGATGGAGTTGTTCTGTATTTGCTCTGTCCAGTGTGGTAGACACTAGCCCCCTAGCCCCATGCTGGCTTTCGAGTGCTTGAAATATGATTAGTGAAATGGAGGCACTGAATTTTACTTTTGCTCAGTTTACATTTCAATAGCCACATGTGGCTAGTGGCTACCGTACTGGGCAATGCAGATAAAATATACATATGTTCTACGATCTATCCCCAAATATTTTCCCTTCCTCAGCATAGATTTACAGCAGGCAGACTATAAACCAAAGAAGGTAAGGTTCTGGGTTTTGTGGAGGCCCCTGCTCTGTTTTAATCCCCCAGTATCAATTTGCTACAAAGCCTGTTGCCAAGAGTATGATTCTTTATTTAAGCAACTTGGTATGGCATTCGTTGGCATCAGTTATTGGACTCAAGGGCAGAGTTGGCCTTTATTTACGGGCCACCCTTTGCTAGTAGAATGTCCTTACGAGACCCAAATTCTTTTACTGCCATGTACAGTCTTCCTTCACTTTTCCTTGTAAATCCGTGGAGTGCTGGTATGAACTAAAGCTGAGGTCCAAGTCCTTATACAGAAATTATGTAAGCGCTCGCTGTTTGCTCTGGATACCCTGGCAATCAGTGCATGCTTTTTTTTTTAGGGCTCTGCTGGAAATCCCAGACAGGTGAGATACGTAACAAATTCTTAGGCTGAAATAGAATCACACAATAAAATTGATGAACCCCGAATGCATTCATCCTCTAAAATGGGAATAGTTAAGTATGTCATCACATTTTGGGTAATGTTGCTTAGAAATAATGAAGATGGCCAGTGGCTGGAAAAGGATTTCTATTTAAACAGGCTGCAAATAGAAGGTTTAACAAGTCAGTCAGTGGGCAGCATTCCGTTGTGACAGCCCAGTACTTAATGATGCTCTAGATGTTACATTTATCTTCATGGAAAGAATGAAAGCTGTTTATTAAAGAAGAAAGCATGGTGTGCAAAATGAAGATCACTCTGTGACAGGGAGGAGATAAAAGAAGAGTTTACATTATTCTTAGAATGGACACAGGCTATCTAATGAAAACCACCATTTTTAGCATCCATGGTTTTGCTCATCAGGAATGTCTTTTCTTTCTCTTTCAGCAATGGGTAGAAGGATTGAGATCAATCATACATAACTTCAGAGCCAACAATGTTAGTCCAATGACCTGCCTCAAGAAACAGTGAGTTTTATTTACATCACTCTTTGTCTTTGGCTGTTAAAAAGTGAAAGGTCAGATTTAGGAGATGAAGGCTTAAAACACACACGCACACACACACACATATGGCCAGGCACCACATTCCGTGCCTTCCCCTCCATGCTCCTGACCCTGGAGAGGAAGTTCCCCATACACACCTGTACCCTTCATGCCACTTGGCAGGGCGTGTCTGAAAACCCATAGCCAATGAATGCCATAGCCCAAAACTGGTATGAAAGGAATGGTTGGTGGTGGATGCTGTAACCTCAGTATCCTCTGGATTGTAGGCCCCAGGCTGAGTGCTGGTAGAGTTCTCCATGCCTAGGGCCAGAGTTGGGTACTGCTGTTGTAGCTGGAGCCTCTGTTGTGTGAAACTGAGAACTGAGGAGTGTGGCCAAGAGAAGCTCTTACAAGAGCACCCATTTCTAGGGTCGAGAAGGAGCACGGGCCCCAGGGACTGTTTAGCACCCAGTTAGGAATCCAAGTGTATTGGCCTTACTCCAGCTCACAGGATCCAAAATCCAGAGGGATACTACAGGAGTAGATTTTTAACCCTTCCCAAGTTATCCCATCAGGGTGACATGAAGTTTACTCAAGGAGAAATCCCAGCCTGTTTAAAAGGCAGCAATCAGTGGAGGAATGGAGCTGCTTGCCATCACAGGGTCATTGGCAGGTGGTTGTAGGTGCAGAAGGGAGCAATGCTGAAAAATTATAGGAATAAACCTGCCCTCGCAACCAGGTCCAGCACCAAGGCTGTGACTGCTTGGACTGTCAAGCAGTAGGAAGGAAGGTCAGCCCTTGGGGTACTTTCACCCTTACTGTTGGTCCCTTTGGCAGGTGCTTTAAGATATGAGCTCTTGACTATAATCCCAGCTTGGCCACCTACTTAGTGGTTGGGTGACACTTGGCAAGTTCTTAGCCTTGTATGTTACTGTTCTTATCTGTGAATGGAGAAGGTGACCATAACTCATTTCACAAGATTACTGCACAGATATTATGAGGTCCTGGAGAACACCCAGCCCAGTGCCTGGCTCCTAGTCCCCCTTCATTCAGTATTAGTGATGTTGATCATTATGCCATCCCTCCAATTTCCATTCCATCATCTTAGTAGGGGATAGCTACTCTTGTAAATACCTGTTTGTTGTGCAGCTGCTTCTCCTTTTCCCCTGCAGTTGCTCTGTCATGTTTTCTTAAAAATAAAGGGCAACAATGTATATTTGACATTACATTTTGAGCATTCGTAGAATCCCAGAGGATCTGAGACTTTGGGAATGCCCACTTATACCTGAGGGACCCCAATATCCATATTGGACACCAGATCTTAACTGTCCCATTGATGTCCTGCTGAGATCCCCGTATAGAGCTGGTATTCACCCATCCACCAGCTGCCATGAGGTTTAGTTCATCAAGAGGTCACACCTGCCCACTTCTGCAGAGAATTACCCCGTGCTGCAGGGGAGTCTCTGTGCCTAGGAGACTATACTCCTTCCTCTTCCTGGTGAGAAGCCCTGGGCTCATAATGGGCTGGAACAGGATACAAAAAGCCAGGCTCCATGCCACCCAGTCTGGTGCACATCGCACTCCAGAGCTCCCCCTGGCGTCGGGCTAAAGCACCAGCAGAAACCACAACTTTGCGTGACTTCTCTCTGTGCTTTCAGCTTCCTTCACTCCTGTTGTCTTTGAAAATATCCCTTCCAAAGGAGTCACTTGTGCTTCTAGGAAATTGCCATAAGGCAGAAACTTTACCAAATTGTCACATTCTTCGTGTTGTTAGAATATTATTGGCTAGAAACAATTAGAATGTGAGTTTGGCTAAGAACAGCCCTAGTCCCAAAGTACAAATAAATGTTCTGGGTCCCTGTGTGTCTGGAAAGCCTGCGGAAAGTAACGAGTTGCTTATCATCAGTTTCAGTTTATGAACTTCTCTTACTCTTGGAAATTAAGGAAGGTGGTCATTCGATCTCTGCTTTGCTACAGTGGGAACAGGGATGGGAGTCCCCAAGGGTCCTCAGGACAAGACTGGCTGGTGTCACCATGCAGTTGCATTTCTTACCACTCAGTAAAGATTATTAAAGAGCAATAATCAAAGATGAGACCAGTCACCAAAGAAGTACCTGCAATTTGTTTTGCCTAGTGTAAGCACCCAATTTTCTAATTCATCTAGGTTGCTAGGACAAATAGGGTAGAACTCCCAGTTAAATTTAAATTTCAGATAAGTAATAGTTTTTTAGTGTAAGCATATCCTGTGCAGCATTTGGAACATACTTGTAAAAAAACGGTATTTTTCAGTTAAATTCAAATTTAACCGAGAGTCCTGGATTTGTATTTGCTAAATCTGACAACCATAAATTCATCTCACATTCTATGATTGCATCTGTTTTCAGAATAAATGTTCTTTGTTTGAATGAACTTTCTTTTAATGTTCTTAACTGGATTGAAGTGTTCCTCCTAAGAAACATTAAAACAGTATTGTTACTATTGTTTTCCAGCTGGATGAAATTGGCATTTATGACCAACACAAATGGTAAAATTCCAGTCAGGAGGTAAGTCGATCATTTCTGCCTGTATTCTATACCCTGAATCAACTCTTGTGATACCAGAGAAAGAGCCCTTTACAAGTACTTGTTAATTGCTTTCACTAAAGATTATTTCTGGAAGCTTAGTTTAAATCACTCTATCAAATGCCGTGTTCAGTTTGTAAAAATCCCTTGTGGATGTAAAGTTGCATTTTTACTCAGAATCGGTAGCATTAGCTCTGCCTTGATGAAGAACATCTAGAAATGCAGCAGTATTCTTTTAATCTTCAAATAAGTGGGTTTTTAGGATTTTGATGTATTTCATCTAGTTGCCATGAGCAAAAATTAGCTAAAATTAAAGAAGTTTGTATTGTGCACCTGTAGTAGGAGTGTATAGACTGTGTCTTTGGAAGTGTGGTACCTAGTCTAGAGGTGCTCATTCTGGGCCTTGCTGTTCCCCTGGTGGGCAGGGCAGGTGAGTTCCTTTGGCTTCTTGGCACTTTGTCTCTAGGTGTACTGTCCATGGCACCATACACTCTTCTGAGCTGTCACTTTTTCCCCTTGCTCTGCCCAAGGTAACAGTGACAATGAAAAAAAAAATGGCAATAAAGCTTGAATGGAATCAAGAATGAAGAAAACAAGGGTACCTGGGTAGCTCAGTCAGTTAAGCGTCTGACTCTTGATTTCTGCTCAGGTCTTAATCTCAGAGAGATCAAGCCCCGCATGGGGCTCTATGCTGAGCATGGATCCTGCTTAAAATTCTCTTTCTCTCCCCCTCTGCCCCCGCCCCTTCCCCTGCTCATGCACATTATTTTAGAGATAAAATAAATAAATCTTAAAAAAAAGAGAAAAGAATGAAGAAAACATGAACCAGATTTGTCTTCTACATGTCTTTTTTAAATTCTATTTGTTTTATTTGTTTTTTTAAGATTTTATTTATTTATTCATGATAGACATAGAGAGAGGGAGAGAGAGAGAGAGGCAGAGACATAGGCAGAGGGAGAAGCAGGCTCCATGCTGGGAGCCCGACGTGGGACTTGATCCTGGGACTCCAGGATCACGCCCTGGGCCAAAGGCAGGTGCTAAACTGCTAAGCCACCCAGGGATCCCCAGTTCTATTTGTTTTAGAGCACAGTTGAGCAGAGGGAGAGAGAGGATCATGAAGCAGACTCCCCAATGAGCAGGGAGGCTACTCAGAGCTCAATCCCAGGACGCTGAGATCATGACCTGAGCCAAAATCAAGAGTCAGGCACTTAACCAACTGAACTACCCAGGCACCCTTCCAACATGCCTTCTTTAATACTAAGCTGATATGTTTCACCCTCTGAGGATTCCCCATGCTTCCCTCTTTTCTGCTTCTCTATTCCATTTCTGGTGTTAGGATTTGCTAGTGGTCTGTGGGGACATCTTGAGATGGTAGTAAGAGGAATTCTTTACCAAACTCTCCAGTATCTTTTTGGCTCGTGTTTGTGTAAGCACTTCATGGAAATTCCATAAGCTGGAGTGGGTCTCAGAGGGTCAGCTGTCCACATGAAACCAGGAGTGTGTTTGGATTCATGAGCCTAAGCCCACAGTCTGAATTAATCATGGATTACCTGGATACCAACCCAGTCTTCTAGAATTCTCCAGACTTTGATTCCTGTTGACTTCTATCTGCATACCACTTTAGTGAAGAAGCCAACTGCAAACAAAACCCAGAGCTACTGAGTAGAATCTTGTCTTAGAACTGTTTATCTTCGATTGACTTACTTCACTCAGCATAATACCCTCCAGTTCCATCCACGTTGAAGCAAATGGTGGGTATTTGTCGTTTCTAATGGCTGCTGAGTGAAGTAAGTCAATTGGAGAAGGACAAACAGTGTATGTTCTCATTCATTTGGGGAATATGAATAATAGTGAAAGGGAATGGAAGGGAAGGGAGAAGAAATGTGTGGGAAATATCAGAAAGGGAGACAGAACATAAAGACTCCTAACTCTGGGAAACGAACTAGGGGTGGTGGAAGGGGAGGAGGGCGGGGGGTGGGGGTGAATGGGTGATGGTCACTGAGGGGGGCACTTGACGGGATGAGCACTGGGTGTTATTCTGTATGTTGGTAAATCGAACACCAATAAAAATTAATTTATTAAAAAAAAAGAACTGTTTATCTTAAAAAAAAAGAAAAGAAAAGAAAAAAAGAACTGTTTATCTTCCAGAGATGAGGCAAACAGGTCACCAACTGATAGCATTTGAGCAAATGCATTTGAGCAGTGGCATGCTGATCACATTGAACCATTTCTGACTTTTCTACGCCTTCCTTTCTGCCAAGTCACTTCATTCTGCCTTGAAACTTCATTCTGTATCCCTAGGAGATTATCTTCATACTCTCTCAAAATTATTCTTTTCACATTTAATAGAATTGACCTAGGAGCACCTGGGTGGTTCAGTCAGTTAAGCATCTGCCTTCAGCGTAGGTCATGATCCCAGGGTCTTGGGATTGAGCCCCACCTTAGGCTCCCTGCTCAGTGGGGAGCCTGCTTCTCCCCTTCCCCTGGCCTTTCTCCCTGCTAGTGCTCTCTTGCTCTCAAATACATAACATCTTTTTTTTTTTTTTAGATTTTATTTATTAATGAAAGACAGGGAGAGAGAGAGAATGAATGAGAGGCAGAGACACAGACAGAGGGAGGAAGCAGGCTCCATGCAGGGAGCCCAACGTGGGACTTGTTCCTGGGTCTCCAGGATCAGGCCCTGGGCTGAAGGTGGCGCTAATCCACTGAGCCACCCGGGCTGCCCAAATACATAAAATCTATCATTTTTCTTAATTCCATGCTCTGTAATAATCCATATGACAGGGACGCCTGGGTGGCTCAGCAGTTGAGCGTCTGCCTTCAGCTCAGGTTGTGATCCTGGAGACCCAGGATCAAGTCCTGCATTGGGCTCCCTGCATGGAGCCTGCTTCTCTCTCTGCCTGTGTCTCTGCCTGTGTCTCTGCCTGTGTGTGTGTGTGTGTGTGTGTGTGTGTCTCATGAATAAATAAAATATTTAAAAAAAAACAATCCATATGACAGAATTAAATATCAATGAGAAAATTGAAAGCATACAAATCATAAAGAAGAAGACAGTATTTTTGCTTGACTTTTTATTGAGGGCTTACCAAGTTATAGAACTCATGCATTTGTTGTGGTCTTTATAGATCTGGATGTAGGATTCTCCTTTTTATTAGCTTTCTAGCAAATCAACATTATGTCTGCTTTAGAAAAAAAAAGGTAGAGCTTTTTAAAAAAAAAACAAAAGCCAAAAACACCTTTTTAAAACCCTTGACTGATAATTATTGGCAAAGATACTTTACAGTGATCCTTATTTTTTTGTAAATCCTTTGTTCTATTGAGCAATGGCAGGACAACTATTTTAATATATCCTAGCATCCTACAGCTACTACCCAACATATAGTATATTTTTCTTTAAAGTCTATATTGAAGTAATGAGTCCAAACTTAACACAGACAGCAGTGTGGAGAATAGAAATTTATGTTGGATCTGTTTTTACATACCTTACTGTCCTTTTTCTTCCAAGATAAGGTTCAGGCAATATACAAAGTAAAAACACAGATTGCAATCAAAGCAAAGCACGTCTAACTGGCAATTTTGGTCTCATTTATATGTATTCTAATCAAGCCATTGTTAGACAAGCTTAGAAGTCTTTTATGGTTTCAAAGATCCTTATCGATATGTTCACATACAAAATTATTACCATCCTTTTGTCATTTTCTTTAGTTCTCCTTGACATAAACTCTTTGGTGCCTGCCAGTATTAACAGGTGTTTGACACAAGACATCTGTGATTCGGGGGCAGTTTGTTCAGAGTTGATGGAGAATTGATACCAAGCCAGAGGAAAGCGGATGAATCTCCTGGTAGATGAGCTTGCCAAGAGCTAGGTGGAAATTGTTCTGAATGTTTTAATGGATATTAAGAGTAAACACTTTTAAAATGTCATTTCATCACTATCATTCTGGAGTTCTTAAAATGGAAACTATTAGTATTGTGCACATACTGTTTAAAGGGATCTGGCTTCATAGTCATTACATAGCTTGGGAATGACCCCTGCTCTTGAGTATTAGCTGAAATTTAATATCCAGGAAATTTCAGGGATGATTAATGAAGAAAGTCTTAGTCTTTACCTCCCTTTTTCCTTTCCATGTATACAGTCTTATGCAGACTCCCTTTCTCTCAAACTTCCAAACTCGCACTCCGTTTATCTTCCCACCCAGACCAAAGTTTGAAAGTCACTCTTTCCTTTGCCATTTCCTCCCTTGTAACCTGGAGTCGAAACCAGTGGCTAGAGAGTTGGGATATGGTAGCCAGACAATAATTGCAGGCTCTGGTTGGGAGTAGTCTTAAAGGAGGCCATTGTATTGAAGAAGGCTGAGAGCTTCAGGTATGGGCATGGCAGCCCAGCTCCTGTGTAATCCATCTACGTCCCAAAAGCTTGGTTTGTCTACAGAGGGGATAGGACTCTCCTGAGGCATCACTGCCTGAGTCCTCCCTGAGTGATTCAGAAGTTGGTGTTAAAACCACCGAATGGATCATAGGCCTATTGAGGGCAAGGAAAGAATGAGACCTACTTGGTGTTTAGCATCATTGCTCTCTTAGTTACCTATAAAGTCTATAGGAACATGGAATTGAACCAGGACTCCAGAAGGATTGGGCTTCACTCAAGGGTATTTGCTTTCATAGCATTTCTTTAGGGGAAGGTGGTTTATTTTGATCCAACAAAAACTCATTGAGTTCTACCCTATACCCTGCGGGCATGGGGCTGTATATAGAGAGTTGAATAAATCACTGTCCTTTATAAGTAGTCTCCCATGATATGCCTATGAAGGTGTCTAAAATCTCCCCAGGCTTTGATAAATGTGTTTCTCTCAGGACCCTGTTAAAGGGCATTCTTCTGGGCCTCTAACTGGAAACTCCCAAGAATTCCCCTTTGCCTCACAACCCCCCTAAGGGAATCCATTTTAAGGCCCAAGCTGTCTGATAGCTGTCTGGAGCAAAGGCAATAAAGGCACTTTGTTAGATAGACCAGGGCAATGGCCTTACTCTTACTCAACTTTCTTTCTCCTATTTTCCATCCTGGGCTTGGTCTCCTTGAGAATGAGGTGGGCAAACCTGCAGTGACATTGCCCAACCCAAGCCCCCTCAGGAAGGAGGGGCCAGAGAACAAACCCCTCTGGCCATAATGCCACCTCTTGCCTCTGTTTTTTGCACAATCATGTTGTTGGGCTCTGGCTCTGCCTTCACTGATATATTCCTACAGGGATTTTCCTCTCTCCTGGCACTGGACACCCTATTTTTTCTTTCTCTCTCAATCTCTTTATTTGCTCCCCCCACCCCATGCAAGCAAATGCTTGCATCTCCTCCTCCTACTCCCTGTTTCTTTCTTGGCACTTCAGCAAGCTCTTAGCCAAAAACTTCTATTCCTGTACACTCTTCCCTTCCTTCCTTCCCTCCTCTCCCTCTACCCCACACCCTGCTACTGTTTCACCAGAAGGGCTCAGGCCCTGTACCTGCTACATTCATGACCACATCGATCAGTTCTCATCTCATTTCTCATGCCTCTCCAAACCTAACCAAAGCTCAGGTTTGCCGAGATACCCCTGAGATTGCTAGGCAAGCAGTTTCCTTCCAGGCATCCCAAATGTGGGGATGCTGGCACCTGTAGCTCTCACACTAAGACATAATTTAAAAGAGAGAGAGAGAGAGAGAGAGAACACTGAATAGCTACTTTCCCCTGTTTTATAAAGGTCAGATAAATTGCTTCTCAAACCAATTTAGTGTATACAAATTCTGTGAACTCTAGGGAAGTGGGAAAATGTGAACATAACACCCTCTACGCTGGAAACTGGTTTACTTAATGTCAAACACATATGTACAACCACGTCCATAGATTTGTTCAAGGGAATCTTTGGGCCTCCGTAGACTTGAATGCCACTGTGTAAAGTGCCCTTAAAAATGTACTTCTCAAGAGTATTCTTGGACCAAGTATAAAACCATAAAGCTTTGAATGAACACATAACAATTCCTTGACTTAAAGTTAGTTCTTCCCAATCTATTTGGGGAAGTTATACTCTGCAGTTGTAGAGGTGCTTTCTCCCACTCATCAAGAATAATTGGCTCTCCGTGCTTACAGTTGGAGCTGGCCTCCACTTAACATGAATAACGAGTGCATGACAGGGTTGCGTGTTGGGAGGTGCTGTTACAAAGCCCCTTGTGCTCATGGAGAAGGCCACGCTTCCCACATGAAACGGCTCTATCCTCAGGTCGAGGCTGGACTTTTGAAATTAGTTTCAGTTATTACAGTGATAGGTTACCTGGGCTTCCAGCCACAGAATGAATGAAGGTTCCTTTGGTTGGCTAAGGCACAGCTCAGGACCAGCATGATTCTAGGACACCAGCTCCTCTCAATAGGTCATTCTGCATGTCACCAGTGTATTTATCATAAGCAGGAAATATGCTTATTAAGGTAGTACTCATTTTAGCAGCCTTGATGTACACCATACAAGATAAAGGGAACACCATTATTCAGAAATGCCATGTGTCAGGGTAGTACCAAGATTCTGTTGAAACATTGAGCAAATGTTCCCCTAGCTCCCCTTCCCACCTCATCTACCCCTTTCTTCATCAACTCCCTAATCTTTGTTGTAGCTGGCATTTCAGAGTAGCTCGAGGGTGCTTAGTTAGCTCAAGAAAAATTTAAGGGCACCTGCGTGGCTCAGTTGGTTAAGCGTCTTACTTTGGCTCAGGTCATGATCTCAGGGTCCTGAGATTGAGCCCCATGTAGGGCTCCCCTCAGCAAGGAGCCTGCTTCTCCCTCTCCCTCTATGCACCCCATTCATGCTCCTCTCTATTTATCTCTCAAATAAATAAATAAAATCTTTTTAAAATTTTAAAAAAATATGTCTGATGTTGGATGTCAGCTGTAGTAAGTATGAAAACAAGCTATAAAGAGCCATTTTAGGCAGAGGCTGAACTCTGAGGAACCTTTTTTTTCCCCCCAAGCCTAGATAGTGTCAACATGAGATTTTATTCTAGACCTGTCCCATCTGCCATGTTCCTTCTTCCAGAGAGAGTTATTTGTAGGATCGAAGTGTATCATTGTTTTTGTCCAGCAGGATCTCCAGGGCTTCTGTGTTCACCCAGGGGGACAGTCATCTGAGAATCAAGTTGCCTCTCGAGTATAACCAGAGGAATATTGCAGGAGCTAGTTAGGGAAATAAAAAAATGCCTAGAAATGAAAACTAAATTCTACTTCCTTTCCCTTTCTCTCCCTGCCATCCTACCATCTGAGTATTACTTGGAGTTTTGCCTCAGAGAAAACAGAATCAACAATAACTTGACTTTTTTTTTTGTTTGTTTTCTTTTCTGCCCTAGTATTACTAGAACGTTTGCATCGGGGAAAACAGAAAAGGTGATCTTTCAAGCACTCAAGGAGTTAGGTCTTCCCAGTGGAAAGGTATCTATTCATTTAATCATGTGTTTCCAAATGACTTTGTCTATTTATGTTCTCATACGTAATAAGCCAGATTTTTTATTCTAAACTGCTGTCATTTAGATTCAAAACTGGATTCAATCTCATAAAGTACAGATAACTCTCCCTTCTTCTTCTCCTGCCTGCCTGTCTTTATTTTCTGAGCATTTTAAACTAAATGTTCTTGAATTCAAATAATGTACTTCACAATGTTTTTATCAACTTTATTAGGGAAAGGAAATGATAGCCAGTTTGCTCTTTTACACAGCTTGTGGAAAGGTTTATTTTATCTTATTTTTTGAGAGAGAGAGAGAGAAAGTGGGGGAGCGGGGGTGGCATGCAGAGGGAGAGAGAATCTCAAGCAGGCTCCATGCCCAGCACAGAGCCAGATGCTGGGCTCGATCTCATGACTCTAAAATCATGATCTGAACCAAAGTCATGAGTCAGATGCCCAGCTGGCTGAATGCCCAGGCGCCCCCAGAAAGCTTATTTTAGAGAAGCCCATCCACCTTGCCTTGACCAAACACAGTGTGAGCCTGAATAATTGGCTAATAAATCCTGTTCTTCAGGATGGCTGTGAGATATTTTATAAAGCACCCCTCCCTACACAAACCATTCGTGTACCTGGCCCTTTGGACCTAGGATAATTGAAATTAACTTACTGACTACAAAAAATATTTAGGCCTGTTACTACTTTAACAAATCCAATTTGAAATACAAACTTCAGTGTGAAAAGTAAAATTTTATGTGGTCATCCTGAGCCCCTTCATGTGATCTTGTGAAAATTCACAAGATGAACATAAGTAAACACTAGGTTTGATTTATTCAGCATCCTTTAGGCAGGCACTTGCTTTTCTACCTCAAGGAGAGAAAGAGGAAATGTTTCTTTATATTTATTTTACGGGGTGTTTCCCAGAGCAAACCCAGCTGTAGTCAGTGTTTGAACACACAAGTCCTGGCTGCATGGTAACCAGAAACACCCATTTACACGTGCCGTGTGCTGGCGGGATGGCCTGGCTACAGCTGGAATTGGCCTTCTGGCTTCTATCAGTAAGAATCCGAAATGGGGGCCCTGGGTTCACCAGTAGTCATTGCTTTGCTTCGTGATCCTGTCAATTCTTTCCCTCCAAGGAGAAAAATGTTGCACGTGTTATGACACTCTTTGCTCTTTACAGAATGATGAAATTGAGCCTGCAGCATTTACTTATGAGAAGTTCTATGAACTGACACAAAAGATTTGTCCTCGGACAGATATAGAGGATCTTTTTAAAAAAATGTAAGTTCTACTTAAAAGAAAATGTCATATTGTTGTCATTTTAGATTTTTAAAACATTTTTGTCATAATGTTTTAATATAGTAGGTTGAGAGTCTCTAGGATTATGTAGCTAGGGTTACATTTTCACCCCTTAGTTTATCACTGTAAAAGTTCACTCAGAGTTTTCGAGAAACTTTTACAAAAATTAATGGCAGCACCTGGAACAATTTTTTCCCCCTTGCATTGGCTTTACTAACTACCTATAATTTTAACCTGCTCCTTTAGGTATTAACCCATTATGTGAACTAACTAGATTCGATTTGGAATGTTATTATGTTGTTGAAAAGTTCATTCATCCCAGTTATTTCAAATGGATGACTTACATGTTGTATTTAAAATAATGGCTTTTCATAATACTAGAGAATTGCAGACATGTTCTGTGAGCTAGCGGGAGTGTTTTCTTTCTCTTATTGTTGGGTTGTTTTTTTGTTTTTGTTTTTGTTTTTGTTTTTGTTTTTGTTTTTCGTACAAACAGTCTCTGGCCATTTTAAGAATGCACCACTACTTCAGGGTTAGAAGATAAGTTTAGCATTATCATCAACAAATGTCAACATGTAAATCGTACCTACTGTAGCATCATATACAAAAACTTACTTTTTCTAATAAATTTCTTTTCAGCAATGGAGACAAAACTGATTATTTAACGGTAGACCAATTAGTGAGCTTTCTAAATGAAGTAAGCTTTTTCATACATTAACTCCATAAAGTCTGTGTGCAGTGGCTTGCCTCTTCCAGTGTTCCCCATTGCATGCCCGCATCATATGCCCTACTTGCTTTGCTTCTGACCTGCTGATCTTTCCATATGGCTTTCTTTACCAGGTGCAAAAATCAGCTGCTGCTCCTGTGTGTTCATGCACTTCCTACACATTGGCTTTGCACACTGCTTTTTTTTTTTGTTGGTTTTCTTGCTGTGATGTATAGCTCTGGTTCTATGTGTGCGTGTGAATTTTATAATATATCCATTTAATTAAATGTGTCTATGTTTTTGCAAGATGATATTTAAGGTAATTTTTTTTCTCTCCTATTGATCTCATTAAATAGAGAATGGATTGAAATTACCATACTATAGTTGGATTCTCCATTGCTAACTTTTTCTCATACTTTTGCATGGACTGGGAAACTTTATTTTTTGTCTTTTAATGGATTGCATGTAAGAACAATGTGTAGGTTCCAAGAGAATATTTTGACAACAAGCACAACAGTGGAGTTCCTGGGTGAAAATACAGTACATATTAGGCCAATTAGATTGAAGGACAAATTTTTACATTTTATTTTTATAACAAGCTTAGGGCTCATTTTAGAATATGATCCACTCAACAACCAAAACTGGTTGACAACATTTGCTTACACACAAGAGAAAAATAATTTCGAACACATAAAGTTTGCAACTTTTGTTACAACTAAAATTTACTTTTTTCTCTTTACACACACAAAAGAATGTTCTGTTCAATGAAACCCATTGAAGCTCTTGCTAATCCAAAATGGGAAATTTACTTTTTTTCTAACACATTAGTGGAATTGACAATATATTTTTGTTTCAAAACAATTTTAATATAATTTAACTGTTATACCATACCAAGAGAAAACATTTGAAGAGAGTATTATCCTACACATGAGGCATTGCCCCAAAGAACAGGCAACAGGGAGAGATGATTTGCCAGTTTGTAGGAACAAATCACATCTTTGCCAAAGCCCTTACAAAGCTATAAAAATGAGAGCCTAAAAGCCCTTATGCAGGGAAGACTAGCGACTCCATTTATCAGCACAGATGCCTTCACTTTTAATAAACCTTTCAGTACAATACAGTATTTATTTTTACTTGAAAACATTTCAAGTTTTCTACCCCACTAGTTTTTGGTCATGCGAATACTATGTTTATAATCTTTACCCAGATATTATCCACATTCCAGTGGCACTGTTATTCCGAAGTTAAGTTGCCTTACTTTGTTTCCTTAACTCCTTCCTACTCTTCTTCTTTATTTTTAAGATTTATTGTTTTATTTTCTTCAGCTTCTTCATGCATTTGGGGTCACTGATTATCTTAAATTTTGGTGAGATGGGCAGGAAAATCTGCTTTTTACTAAAGAGGGAAGACCCTTGGGAGGCACAAAGAAAAATCTACATTGTTAGTTTGCTACTTCCTAAAAACAAGGTCTCTTGCACACTCTGAGATGAAGCTGGCACCCAAGCATCTATTAAGCATGACAGAGATCTTACTATATATGTCACCGTGAAATAAAGAAATAATTCTGAAGTCTTGAGGCTAGATCTGGTGTTCATGGGCTCTTATCCCGTGCCTTTCCTCTTATGGGTTGTTTTTGTAAACCTACTCAATTATCACTTATAATTTTTATAAGTCTACGACATAACATTTAATTTTTAAAAGATACAATCACCCATACTCTGGCTCTGCCATCCAAATTATTTCTTCAAATACTTATTATTTGATAGCTTTTATACATCATTATTACAATGGCCAGTAGCACTCATTTGCTTTTATATTTTCTGCTTGGCTTCTCATTCATGGTAAGGAAGCATCTTTACTTCTGGGGTGGGACAGATGGAATCAGTGTGATTCTTGATTTCTTTAGATCATAGAGACTGAAAGATGGTCCAGGAAAGTGTACAGCCTTTACTTTTCATCAACTTGCCTGAATCTCTCCCTTTTCTGTCATAGCAAACTGAATTGGAAAGACTAGATAGAAATCTGAGTGCATCCTTGAAGAAGTTTGTCAAACTTAGAAAACATTCTTCCAGCTCCTGTACTCTCTCTTTTAAGTCCTGCAGTGGCTCTTCTCCTTCTCCAAAAGCAGAAGACGCTTTAGGCATAGCACCTTTGAAGCCCATAATGAAAGGAGACAGCGTTCACTTGAGAAGGAAGCTGGCATTGCAATGTAAAGGTGTATGGCTCCAAAAGCTTAGATCTAAACGTTTGCAAAATGCCTTAGCTACATAATGTCAGCAATCTAGAGTTCAACATTGTGTTAGAAGCCTAGATTATGCAATAAGGCAGGAAAAGTAAATGAGTCTCGTGAATACAAAGGGACAAGGTCCTACTTATCGATCATTTGCAGATGATGATTGAATACTCTAACTCTCAAAAACTATTGACTGAAGAACTCTTTGAATGAAAGTTAAGCAAAGTAACCAGAAAAATAATTGAAGCAAAAATCAATAGACACATGTACACAAACATTAACAAGTTAGAATAAGTGATAGGGGAAAAAAAGTCATGCTGCCTCCTACCACTTCCCAGCTTGGAAATCTTTTTACTCTTTAGGTTAAATTTTATGTTCAGTATACTTATGTCTATCTTCAGGAAGCTGGAATGAGAGGAGAGACTACTGGCCATTTACTATCCTGGTCACCATTTAGGGATTTGTACCACCTCCTTCCTATCCATGTCATCAACACTTACTAGCTTTTCACTAGTAGCTTTAGACCTGCTGCTCATCTGCTTCTCAGTATCTCTTTATTCATTGCTCCCCAAAGTGTGACCATGGACCAGCAGCATCAGCATTCTGTGGGAACTTGTTAGAAATGTAGAATCTTGGGTCTCACTCTAGACCTACTGACTGGGAATCTGTCTACATTTAATGACATCTCCAGGTGACTGAGCTGCACATTAAAGTTTGCGAAACACTGTCCTACTGGATTACCTGCATTTCTCCTTGGAATACTTAGTGTGTATGGGAAGAATGTGACAGCATCATATACCTTCTGTTATTCTCCATAATGGATTTACTCATGGAAATCCACCACTTGGATCTAAAATTTTGCTACAGCTATGCCTTTTTGTCTCATCAGTGGACCAAGCGAAACTTGTCTTCTTCCTGTTTTATGAAAATAGTAAACCAGAGTCTGGGAAGCTAGTAGAAGCACTCACTGTGAGCTGCCATGTGGTTAGATAATTGCCTTCAACTCAGTTCTCTGTCTGTGGTGAGGCTACTTAATGTCCCTGGGCCTCAGTTAATTTCTTTCCCCATTTCCACTGAGAAGCTAAATTGATTTCAGTTTTAGCTTCATTCTCTCACAATGATAACTGAGGGGGAGGGCCCACAGAATTGGAAAATGCATGGAGCGCTGGAGAGATAGATCAAGGGGAGAAAAAGAGGAGAAAGGTCTTAGAATAATCCAGAATTTGCTTTATTTTCTTGTTGCTAGTGATCTCTCCCCACCTCACACACATTATATGATCACGTTAGGGTTAGACCTATTTATTTATTTATTTTATTTTGCAGGTTAATATAGGAAAGGGCCTATCTTTTTCCATTTATAATATCTTTTTTTTAATACATAGACATAGGGATCCCTGGGTGGCGCAGCGGTTTGGCGCCTGCCTTTGACCCAGGGCGCGATCCTGGAGACCCGGGATCGAATCCCATGTCGGGCTCCCGGTGCATGGAGCCTGCTTCTCCCTCTGCCTGTGTCTCTGCCTCTCTCTCTCTCTCTGTGGGTGACTATCATAAATAAATAAAAATTTAAAAAAAATACATAGACATAGAGAAGGAGGTATTTAGTCTTACATGTAAGCCTACTCTTGCAAATTATTCCTTTATCTTCTTTATATTTCTTCTGAATATTTTTTGCCAACATATCTCCCATTCTTAGGGTTAAAGTCAGTTGATGCCTCTTCTCAATAAGAGTAAGGACATAATAATGGATAATGGCCATTGTCTCTTCATTCATGTGGGTACAGTTCTGTGACCTATTTTCATAAGCTGTTTAGATCTCACTTTACAAAGCTCTGGACATCCAGCAGGGAATGTCGTAGGTACATTGCTTCCCCACTGAAAACCAGTGATCCCTCAGAGTTATGAGACATTTGCCTCACTGTGCTTACATCCATGTGGGACCCTTCTCCAACTTTATTACTCTGAGGTCACCTGGAAGCTATCCTTTTTCTCTTTTTTTTTTTCATGTAAAAATTATAGTTTTGTGACTCTGATGCAAATCTTATTATCTGCTTCCTTACTTTTGGATTATATCCAGATTGTACTGTGCTTCCTTTTTGAAACATGAAAATTTTAGTGAAGCAAAGGTTATACTAATCTGGAGTGATGCAAAGACAAATGCAGTTTCATACTGTCTGCTTTTAATGCTTATTTGCTGCAAATGTACAATTAGGAGATTATGATACATCCATTTTAGGACTTGTTTTCCTGGCTTTTGCTTCTGATAGGCAGGATGTTCTAGTGAATATCATGCCCTGGGACTAAACATTAATGGACTTTAACTAGGACATCTCAAACATTTAGCATTCTGTCCTTGCAGGACTTAGGTTTTGGGGTTTGGTTGGTTGGTTGTTTTGTTTTTGTTTTTGTTCTTTTACTGATTTGCAACGTGCATACTTTTACATGTTAGAGCAGTGTTTCTTAAACTTGAACACATCAGAATCACCTGGAAAGCTTGCTTAAACACAGATTCATGGGTTCCACCCCAGAGAATCAGATCTGGTAGGTCTTTAGTGGGGCCTGAGAATCTGCATTTTAATACCCAGGTGCGGGAGATGCCACTGCTGCCATCAACAGATTACATTATAAGTCACACTGGGCTCACATGCATATATATATATGCATATAAAGAGCACATCAGAGCATCTAGCTTCCCCCTCCTTTACCTGATTTAATCTCTTCTTCCCTCTGCAGCTTAATCTCTTCTTTCTCTCACTTTTTTAATTCATATGGATTTTCCCCATCATCTCCATGGGTCCTAGATTCTTACCAGCAAGTATATCTTTAAATCAAAAAGGCCTACTTTTAATAAGGAAGGAAAATACAGTGGCCAACCATGAACATAACTGCAATGGGGTCTAAAGAGGACCTTTTCCTACCATATCCATATTCTTCCGTGATAGTATTTTACAGAGATGGGTGAAGAAATGTGCCTAGAAAGAGTTTTTTGTTCGTTTGTTAATTTGTTTGTTTCTTTGGAATGATGCATTCTTACCAGAGGGGTGGTGCTTGTCGTCCCCTTGAATAGTGGGCTCTAGAGTTGCATGATGCCCATCCATTTCATAAACAACATTGTAGCATGCCTTCACGTGCCTGGCATTCCATGGTCCACCTCACGGTTTCTCTCTGCATAACTCCATGAGTTGTTTTTTGTTTTTTTTTATGGTTTCAAGGCCTGTTGTTAATATGTGCTCTAGCACATGCATGGACGTGAGCTGTTGTGAGCTGTAATTTCTTAGATTACAACAGAAGCATGCTTCATTGGGATAAACTGACAAAAAGATAACAATTCCTTATGAGTTAACACTCTTAAGTGGGTGAAGAGGTGGGCGGACCTGCATAGGCTAGGCCACAAGTGCTTGAGGAAATTACATCATACGTGTTGCATTGGCCAAAGGCATTCATTCTGTGCTACCCACTTTTCAGACTCTCATTTCAAAACAAATGGGGAAGGGAAATCCATATGAACCTTTAACAACTGTTTCTCAAACACTTCTCAGTACTCTTTTTCAACGTCTGTGCATATATTTGGGTAAAGAATTGTTGCCAAGGTTCTACCTGTTGACCAGGTTTTGCTCACACCTTCTTATCTGCCATTATTTCCATAGAAGTTATAGATTTGATGAATGACCAGGGTCCAATTCACGGTGAACATTAAGGAAGTTTCATGGACCACTGCCTCCAGATATAGACACACACACACACACACACACACACACACACACACACACAAAGATTGTAGCTGAGTTAGTAAATTGGATTTTTTTTTCACCACTGCTGTGAAGTTTGGACGGCAGAACTGCAGAAATAGCATTGCTCCTGGTCCCTCTCCATAGTACCACGAGCATCCAGGTGCTGATTTGAAAAGAATGGCATCACCAGCTTCCTAAGTGCCTTATTCATGGACTCCTTCTCCCCAGAGGAGCAAACCAAGGAAATTTACTTTTTCATAGTGAAAAAGACTTTCTGCACTACTGATAATCAAGTACAGATTTTCATATTGTCGATAATTTTTACATATCCTTGTGCTGATTAATTATCATCATTACAATTGGTGTGATTTGATAAATATTTACTCAAGAAAATGAAGCCTGCAGACTGCCTAAGAAATCTTTTCTATGTAAAAATCTATGTAAAAAATATATATAATACAAATGAAAAGATGTTTGCCTGTTTTAACCTTAGGGATTTTTTGTTTTTGTTACTATTGTTTTTCTTTTTTGGCACTTCAGTTAGTATATTAACTATTTGAGTTATTGTTTTTTTTTTTTTTTTTGGTTTTTGCTTTTGTTTTTTGTTTTTCTTTTTTTTTCCTCTGCCAAAGATTTTTTACCTCACTTTTTATAGATTTTTATGCCAAACCTCTCACCTATGGTATGGGAACTAGAAGACAGCACAATTGACATGCACACCATTTTATGTATCCTTTAGCTTTTGGAGGGAAAAAAAAGTACATTCTGTATTCTCTCTCCAGTTCAGTGAGGGAAACCGACAAAGCACTCCCAAAGATGGACTCTTTTGAAGTATATTTTAGGGAGAAAGAGAGTAGGACAGTGAAATCCTATCTTTGTAACTATAAATGTGATCCTTTAAATATACTTTATTTTAGAAATTATGTACTTTAGTGATATATAATGCCCCAAGGGTGATAAATGTCAACCTAAATGGGGTTATTTTCTCATCATAGCATCAACGAGACCCTCGACTGAATGAAATTTTATTCCCATTTTATGATGCAAAAAGGGCAATGCAGATCATCGAGATGTATGAGCCTGATGAAGATTTGAAGAAAAAAGGTAATAAAATTGAAAAAAGATAATTTTCTTTATTAATGAAAAAGCAAAGACTAGATGCAACTTTCTTTGAACGTTCTTGGATTTTTAGTTAAAGGCATCTTTAAACGCTTTGGAGTTCCCTAGAGCCAGGGAGTTTTAATGGACTGTTTTTTTGTTTTGTTTTGTTTTTCCTGTTCTAAGCTAGTATAAATTTTACCTTACATCAGAATTTGCCCATGTTGCATGAGGTAGAATGTTAAATTTCCTGTATTATTAAACACATTATAATGATATTTTCCCCATTGTACTCTTATATTCAACTTTTACTATTGCATGATGCTCAAACTGCAAAAATGCCCAGTCTGTTTGCAATCTTCGAAGGAATTTCACGTCTTAGAAAAGTCTGTGCCTTCTTTTTCTCCCCTTTGTTTTGCCAAGCAAATTTTAATACATGACCTGATGAGCCTTCCCATCATTGGACTTCTGTTATGGAATACAAATGCAACTGATAGGAAATTAAATAGGAATCAATATAGCGAGTTATTGGGGCTTCTGAACATTTGCCTCTTTCAGTGATATATTGGAAACAGTGTGCTGTCCATTCCAATATTTGACAATGGAAAGGCATGGAGAGGAAATTTAAGGTCAGTCTCAAAGCAGTGGGAGGCACCTGCAAAGGGTGGGACAGGTGATGATGCTATAATTGGACAGGAAGTCCTGGGAAGAGATACCTGAGCTGCAGCCTCACCCTTGTGTCCCAGTAAAGAGTTGAAGGGAGGTTCAGGTTTGGGTTCTGTCTCTTCCATGTGCCCATGAGTATCATGGCCTCTAGTTTCTGAGTTCTTTCTTTGTATCTCATTGAATGTGGCTGAGAGGTTTATATAATCTATGGACCCACATAAAACCTGTGTCTACATGTACTGGCCTGCCACACCACATGACCCATCCCTGATATTTTTCCAGGTCAAAAAGATGTTCAGTTACACTTCCTGCTAAGGCCCCAACTACCTACTTTCAGCAAGATTGCTTCCTTATTTATCTCTCTATAAATATTCTGAGCATTGTTATTTATTCTACATTGCATGGGATTAAAGTGAACAGAGGAGTGGCTTCATAGGTAATATAGCACTTTGCAGTATTTGATTTGATTCTTGTTGCCATCCTGTCACTGTGTGACCTTGGGCAAGGGACTATATTCCTGGGCCTCAGTTTCCTTGCTTGTAATACAGCAGAGTTCGTACAGTCTTTCAACTAGTATTTCACTCCCCTGCGTTCATTTTATTAAGTTTATAGAGAGCTGATGGGTGCCAAACACTGTGCCCAGTGCTGGAGATTCAAAAGTAAGTAAGACAGTTGTGATCTGTTGAGGGACAACGCTCAGCAGTCCATTGGCAGTATGATAAATGTTATGACAGAGGTGTGTCTTTCATTATTTCTAAAGTCCTTCCAGGTCCTAAAGTCTATAAAATTAACTTGACACATCTAAAAATCATAGCTTCACCATTTCACAAATGACAGAAATTTCAAAGTCTGCCATTATCAAGTGGGGTGAGAATGTGGTGCAAAAGGCATTCCTATAAATTTCCGGGGTGGAGCTTAAATAGGTACAACCAACCATCTTGATGAATATTTTGGCAATAATTGGAAAAGTGGAAAATATGCCTCTCCTGCAGCCCAGCCTTTTCACCTCCAGGTATGTACCCCAGAGAATTTCCTGTATTGTTCCCAGCTCTGGATGTCAGAGGAAGTGCACTCACCCAGGCCAGTGGCTTTAAATTTCTTCTACACACATGACTTTCAAATTCTCCACTCCTAACCTCTAACTTCAACTATAGACCTGCAGTAGAACTCTCCATTTGAATACTGAATGGGCATTTCAAGTGTGTATGTACAGCATATTTTGATAATCCCTGACCCAGACCTGTTCCCTTCTCACCGAGGAAAATGGTACCATTATTCATCCAGATTTTCTTTCTTTATTTATTTTTTCTTAAGATTTTATTTATTTATTCATGAGAGACACACAGAGAGAGAGAGGCAGAGACACAGGCAGCAGGAGAAGCAGGCTCCTCACAGGGAGCCTGATGAAGGACTCAATCCCTGGATTGAGCTGAAGGCAGATGCTCAACTGCTGAGCCACCCACGCGTCCCTATTCACCCAGATTTTCAAGCCAAAATTCTTGGAATCTTCCTTGGCTTGCTTCCATTCTTTCACATCATTTCTGATGCATCAGCAAAACCTACCAGATCTGTTCTCAGAATGAGTCCTGAATAAATCACTTTCACCCTCTCTACCTTCATCAGACTATCCAAGCCTACCTACATCATGTCTTCCTGGACAATGCCAATGACTTCTAACTAGTCTCCTTCTTTCTACTCAGTGCCTTACAATTTATGCTCCTTATAGCAGCCAGACTAAACCTTTAAAAACTAATTCTAATCATGTTATTACACCCTTGAGAACCTTCCAAAGGCTTCCCTACATACAGTACTTAGCAAAGACTTAAGTTCAACTGGTAGAGCTTTTGGCTTCCTCTCCAGCCTCATTTCTAGCTACTTCTCCCCTTGGTCACACACTCCTGCGTCAAGGACTTTGCATTTGCTGATCGATCTATCTGGGATGACCTTCCCCAGATGTGCATATGGCACTCTCCCTACTCATGAATGTGACCGCCTGAGAAGGGCTTTTGCTGGCCATATATCTAACACAGCATCCTGGTCATTCTTTATCACCTTCATTCCCTGCTTTCTATTTCCTTCTAGCACTTTCATGATGTTACATTACATTTTTATTTATTTGCTAATTTATTTACTCTCTTTCCCATAATATGTTTCGTGAAGGAAGGGCTTATCTGTTTCTTCCATCACGTCATCTGTCTCAGTGCCTTAAAAAGTATTTGCTTTTAGCATGGATGTGTGTGCCAAGGAGATAGGTGCACAGATTTTTATTGTAGTATGTTTAATTATAATTAGAAATTACCTAAATACACATCAACAGAATAATGAACAATAAATTGGTGTATTCATAGATGGACCCACTCTACATTCTGCAGTACTACTTACTACCACTATATGTTCTACTATAATCAGGGAAAAATAAATGAACAAGAGCTATTTATATTAACTGAATAAGTTCTAAGGAAATGTAAAAATAGCAAGTTGTGTATGCAAATAGTGGTAATCTTTTATAAAAGCTTTTAAATATTCATATTTACCTATTGTTTGGATAAGGACATGTGTAGTAGAGTTACAAAGCCATTTCGAGAATGTTAAATACAAAAAGTTAGGAAGTGGACGTCTACAAGGAAGTAGAAAGAGGGACTGCAAGAGAATGGAGGGTGGGAACACAGGGTGCTGCAAAGACATCTGTAGTTATGTATTCCTCTAAAAAATGTAAAGCAAATAAGGTAAAATGTTACAAAGCTATGGTTTAGGTCCTGAGTTATTTATTATGCTATCATCTGTACTTTTTTTTATAAGTTTTAAATCAGTTCATAACTTGCAAATGCTTAAATAAAAACAGAAACCTGAGGTGGTCGATGGTTGACAGGGTAGGAGATGTAGAAATAATTGATCACTTACCCTGAGAAGACCACAAGGGACCTGCCCTACTAGAAAGGGCTCTTGGGGCCATATTTCAATGACTACTGAATATTCTTCTCACAGTCCCATATCCCGTTTCATAGATAATATAAGAGAAATAAATTGTTTAAACCCAGCATGGCTGCTAACTCCTTCTCCATTCCAGTGAGAACAATAGCACCCTACAGTTGTGTTTTCCTCTTGAGCCCAACACAGGGCTCAAACCCATGACACAGAGATCAAGACCTGACCTGAGATCAAGAGTTGGATGCTTAACCAACTGAGCCACCCAGACTCCCCTGTTTTCCACTTTTTAAAGAGCCCCTCTCCTATATATTCTTTATCATTCAGGGCAGTCCTGGAAAGCAAGTGTGGCCAGTATTTCTCCCCATTTGAGAGAAGAGAAGGTTGAGACCCCAGAACATAAGGAGTGAGTGGTAGAAGCAGAACCGACAAAGGTTCCCTTGACCCCTGGTCACCACAGCTCCTGGAGCTGTGCTTCTGAGCTTAGGGAATCATGGGCTTCAGCCATCCTACTTAAGAAAGCAGAGCACCACCTGTCTTGTGGAATGCTTTAGGTTACTTAGAACGTGCAGCTCTATTGTTTTGTTCAAGTTCTGAAAGATGAAGGTCTTTGGGGAAGAGACTGAGAAGTAGTCTTTACTTTGATGAAGCTGCCTCAACTTTCATGAAGAAAATGTGAGTTGTGTATTTCCAGAGCCACATGTCTACTAACTGCTCTTTTCCCCCTCTAGGCCTCATATCAAGTGATGGGTTTTGCAGATATCTGATGTCAGATGAAAATGCCCCAGTCTTCCTGGATCGTTTAGAACTTTACCAAGAAATGGACCACCCTCTGGCCCACTACTTCATCAGTTCTTCACATAACACCTATCTCACTGGCCGACAGTTTGGTGGGAAATCTTCAGTAGAAATGTACAGACAGGTTCTCCTGGCTGGTTGCAGGTCAGAAACTCAGGACAGCTTTTATTTTTTTTTCTTTTTTTAAATTTTTGTATATGATAGCCTTCAATTTAATTGGCTTTTCTCTAAAAGAAACAGGAAGTAGTATTCAGAATGAAAAGGACGTTTTTCTTCTTTAATTGATTATACTGGTCATGTAACCTTTGAAAAAGAACAGAAGATCTCTGCCCCAGAAAGTTCTAGAATCCTCCTAAGGACCAAAAGACATTTTTTACTATACATTTTTAGATATCCCCCTCTAAATTACAAAAAAAAAAAATGTTTTTAAGAAGTTATGCTAAGTCTCTTAGTGATCTGAAGCATTGGCAAATGTGGCTCTACTTAATGTTAAAAGTTCTAAAATGTCATTCTCTGAGAATAAAGATTATTGAAAATGGTTTTCTTGTGAAAAATAAGAAATGTAGCTACATGATATTTTTTTCTTGGTTGTCAATAACCAGTACCTTATTTTTTAATAACTATTTTTTGTGTATGGAGAGACTCTAAAGAAATGACTTCACTACTTCTGTCTCTGAATACTTGACACAATGAGAACATTTTCTTTTATGGTCGAAGTAACATCATTTCACCTAACAAAGTTTTATCTATCTATTTATTTATTCACCTAACAAATTTAAAACTTATTCTTTAACATCATCAAACCCAACCCATATTCAGATGTTACCAGTTGCCCCCAGATTTCCTTCATTGTAGCTTTGTCATGACTGGAATTTCATTCAGAACCTCACTGGTTGTTATATCTCTTAAGTCTGTCTTTATCTCTGACAGTCCCTTTTTGATGACATCAACATGGTAAAGAATATAATATGATTTTAACTTACATACTCCATGAAATCATGTTATTTAATCCATGTTCTGTTTCTGTAAAAAAAAAAAAAAAACTTATTTTGGTATCTCTTCTTTTAATTTGCACATACACTATTTTATTGTAAGGGTTCAATATTGCAATTTCACTGTGTGCCTAGATGTGTTGAACTTGACTGTTGGGACGGAAAAGGTGAAGACCAAGAACCAATAATAACTCATGGAAAAGCTATGTGTACAGATATCCTTTTTAAGGTAAGTTCAAAATAGCCATAGTCTTTTTCTGAACTATTGTAGAGATAGATGAAGTGGAGAAAACAAATTATTCATTTTCTGAAAGTCAAGAAACATGTTTTTTCCACTTAATAGCACCATCTTTTTTTAACTCTGCTGCTTTCAAATGGTGACAGTGCTATATAATGAGGTTTCTCTGCCAGTCTCCCCCTGACTCTTAAGACTGTTTAGAAACAATCTTTTGTTTTCATGCTCAATTTACCCTATTTCTGAAGGACTTCAAATTGGCATAAAAAGATAGAATAAAGAAAATAAAATAGATTATTAATAGCACCCGTAAGAGTAAGAAGCTAAGTTTAGTGAGGTTAGAGTTTATGAATGCCCTATAAGAAGTCCTATAAACTGTCAAGCCATGCCATAAATGGGCTCCAGACTTTCTAGAATTCAGCACAAGGAGGGAGGAAACATGATGATTCACAAGATTTATAAAATAGAAATAGGGCCTTTGGTCCAAAGAAGCATAGTTATTTCCAGTCCTGGTACTAGAGAGAAGACTTTTCCCCAAGGATCCTCAAAGAGAGGCATCTACAGTTTTATAAACAGGCATTTCAAGTTATGGCCTTTTGGTGATCTCTATGTAGTTTGGAGGTTGGTTTCTTACAATGCTCCTCACTATGCTCCAATGATATCCTGCCAAAAGACAAGTCAAAAAATGAAATTCTGCGGTTGGACAATATTCAGATACATCTGTCTCTGTCAGTTTGGTGTAATTTAGAATAGTTATTGCAACATCTAAAGCAATTGTTCTGCCTACATGTGGAAAATCACCAGAGGTATTTGTAAAAACAGATGCCTAGGCCCTATACCCTCCATGCATACCATTTCTCTTAGCCAGATGTTAGTGAATTTTGAGTAGCAATGAATTCAAGACTATGTTCCCTGAGAAAGAATTGCACTCCCTGAGCAGTATCAAGAGTATTCAAGTGGGAAGCCATGAGTTTGCACAGCCAACCAAACTGACAGGAAAGGTTGATGTCTTCTTTAGAGAATTAAGGAAACTAATAAGGAAGTTTACCTGAAAAGAAGGCCAAGTCCTCTCAGCCTGGAGGTGAGGAAAGGAGAACCCATGAACAGAGCAAAAATTTCTCTCCAGGAGTATTTCTTGGTCAGCTCAAGTGGACAGTCAAGGTCTCAGGCATTTTCACCTGGGAAAAAACTTTAAGCAAGAATAATTAAAGGACCACCTTAGCCATGAAAGTGCTCACTAAAATACTCTAGGATTATCTAATCCAAGGCATAATCGTTTCAAATGGACTTCCCTAGATGACTATTGTAAAATGTTTTTCCATTTAATTGAATGGTGGCATTTGCCCTGTGGTTAACTATAAGCCAGTAAGAATTTGGGGATTTTTACCAAATATGCTCCAGTTTTAGAAACATTGGTTTGAAATCATGCTTTCTAAAGCGAAGCAGAGAGCAAGGCCAGCTGTCTGAGGGAAGGACATTCTCAGCTCATTCAAAGGTTGTTTCAAATGGCCGAGCTTTTGGTTCAGAGAGGGACATCCAGAACACCTCCTGTTTGACCTCACATGTTGCTTGATCAAGGAGAAACCCCTCTCTGGTCACCTCCCATCCTCAAGATTCATCAGGCTAATAAGAGACAATTAATTCAGTTTCATCAAATTAATGAAAATAGCCAAAACTTCACCTGCTCTTGAGTAAGAAAGATGAGCTTTGAACCTGTCTTACCAGGTAATGGAGCAAGGAGCCAGCATGCCATTTGGATGAAATTTCTTGTCAGTTAATAGCACCATAATTTTGGAGAAGTCCGAGATAGCTTTGAAAAAAAATTTTCGTCAACCATTAACTGCACTTGAGTCCAGCCACAGGGGGACTCTACCTGTAAAGGTATCAAGGTGAATGACTTCTCCAAGTCTTAATTGCCAGAATTGACTTTCTGAAATTAATAGTCTTGGAATGGCTTCAGGTGCCTTAATTTTTTTTTCTCTTTTCTCTCATTAACACTTTTTATCTTTAAAGGATGTTATTCAAGCCATCAAGGAAACTGCATTTGTCACATCCGAATATCCTGTAATTCTCTCCTTTGAAAATCACTGCAGGTATAATGATGTGTTCTAACTCTAAGTAGCTACTATTCATTCCCCACTGCTGCTGTACATCTTTTTAAATAGCTGAATAGTTTTGGGAAATGGCAAGGACACTTGGTCTTACACAAAAAAGAAAGGGGAAAAAAATCCCAAACCACTACCCGCTCTCACCTCCAAAAAAAAAAAAAAAAAAAAAAAAAAGGAAAAAAAACAAGTCCTCTTTATATGTATTAGAGATGCTTCCTCTAAACAAAAGGTGAGGGATCAAGATACCTTGCTTGAAGTTCCACTGAGTTGGAAGATTTGGCAGTAGATTTGAAATCAGACTTGATGAGCTTGAGAGCCATTTTTTTTGAGAGCCATTTTTATTCTGTTTACCAGCCCTTAATTTGGGTGGCAAAATATACTTTTTACCATACCAGTTAAAGTCTGTGGTATGTAACAGCATCTCGCTTAGCATCCAGGGGACAAGTGTAGATTTTACAGAGTGGGAGTTTTTAATCACCTAGGAATGGATGTTTCTTATTCTTGGACAGTTAATGGATGTTTGAATTTACAAATGCCAGTTCTCTCTCTCTCTCTCTCTCTCTCTCTCTCTCTCCAGCAAATATCAACAGTACAAGATGTCCAAATATTGTGAAGATCTATTTGGGGATCTCCTGTTGAAACAAGCACTTGAATCACATCCAGTATGTATTTTTAGCAAACCATATTTCTGACCTGAATGGATTTGTTTTGAAATTCATTTCTAAAGGGTCAAGTAGTGCTAGAGGACTAAAGATCTTCATATTTATTTAAATTCATTGGTATGGAAAGCTTTTGTGCTTCAGACAGATGTGTAGAGAAAGACATAAAATAAACATCTGGTTCAGTTTAATTTGGAAGGTCTTGAGGTCTTTATGATTTTTGAGATCTCTGTCCTAAAATTTTATAAAATGCCCACTGGCCAAGAGTCTATATTCAGCAGTTGTTCTCAACTTGGTTGCATGATAGAATCATCTAGCATCTTTAAAAAACCTTTGCCAGGGCCCCACTTAGGGATTGAGTTAATTGTTCTGGGTAAGGCCTGAGTGTGGTGTTTTTTAAAAAGCCCTCCAGGTGAATTAAATGTGCACATAGGGTTAGCACCCATAGGATCCCATTGCTGCGAGAAGTCCCCTAAATTGAAGTTACAGGAGTCTTGAGTTCAAGCTCTGAAGTCCCAACAAAACAAATATTTGGTGGGGAGTGGCGCCTGGGTGGCTCAGTGGGTTGAGTAGACACTGATTCTTGGTTTTGGCTCAGGTTGTGATCTTGGGGCTGTGAGACTGCGGACTCTATCAAGCTCTATGCTCAGTGCAGAGTTGGCTTGAGATTCTTTCCCCCTCCTTCTCCCTTCCCCTCTGCACCTCCCTGTGCACCCACTCACTCTTTCTAAAAGAAATAAATAAAATCTTTAAAAATACTCAAAAAATGTTATACATACATTTTTTTGCGCTTCATTTTTACACCTGTTAATTGCTTCATAAAGCAAAGAACTTCTAACCTGTGGCCCATAGATGGGCTTTGTGAGGTCTGTGACCTCATTCTCATTGCGTACAATTTTTTTTTGGCATATAATTATTCCAGAGAGTTCATCACGTTTTTGCAAGGATCCATAACCTCCAAGCTGTAAAGATCCACCATCACAAGATGATATGAGTAGTAAGAGAGCTGATGGGATTAAGTATAAAGTACTCTGTGGTAGTAAAAACAAAAACAAACAAAACTGGGGAAAAAATTAGGACACGAGGATATTTGCATCCTTTGCACCCACCCTCTGTCTTTAGCCTGCAGAGGCCATGCCACACGCTCCCTGCCCCCGTCTGCGCAGCACTCCCTGTTCTCCCTGCACCCTGGCCTGACATTCTGCTGCTGGCACCTGCAGCTTTCCCTGTGAGGGGAGGTGCTATGGTCACTGGAGCCTGCTCTGCCCATATGTGAAAGACAGGCCAGAAGTGCCAGAGAACGGACATCCCCTCCCCGCTGGCTCCCTCACTCCTCAGGAGGCCCAGCGCCAACACACATGTCCTGCCTAGGCAGCCAGGCTCCCCAGCAGGACCACATGCCGGCCCCCTGGGTGATAACTTGCCTGATAACACCCCTTTGGGGTTGGCTGCTTGCCTTCTTTTTCTCACTTTCCCACCCCCGATGGACATTTCTGACGCTGCTGCCCAAATAAACCCCGGGTATATTCACATCCTTGTCTCAGACACTGATTCTGAGGGAATCCAAACTAAGAAATGGGGCCCTGGTTTTGTCTTTTTGTTTTTGGTTTTGTTTAAAATTTTATTTATTTATTTATGAGACACACAGAGAGGTAGAGACACAGGCAGAGGGAGAAGCAGACTCCTTGCAGGGAGGCTGATGCGGATCTAGATCCCAGGACCTTGGGATCACAACCTGAGCCAAAGGCAGATAGATGCTCAACCACTGAGCCACCCAGATGTCTGGCCCTGGTTTTTGTTTACTAGCCCTCTGTTTTATTTTATTTTAATTTTATTTTTGTTTTACCTAGGCCCTCTGTTTACGTTTCTGATTGGGTTAAGGTGCTTGTGCTTGCTTCTGTGGAAAGATGGCTGTATTCTTTATAGAGTGATACAGGCATACATGAAAAGTGTTGTGGGGGGTGTAGGTAGATCCACGTGGCAGTAAGACCTCCCTGAAGTGCAGAGCTTTCAGTCTTAAGGGGGGGGCAGTTGGGGAGACACAGAACACAAAGGTAAAACCATCGCTTCAAAACAAGATGGCCTGTGACCTATTGAAAACTTACTAGAGATATCCAGATTCAAGAGAGATCACTGGGGAATGGAGCAGTTACAGAAGGCTTCAGAAGGAAGCAGAATTTTGGCAAAGAGCTTTGTTTGAGGCAACACAGACCTAGGAATGCATGGTGCCTTCCATGTAATAAGTGGTATAAAGTTTACTTTTGAAAAAGTGAATGGGCGCATGGAAGAAATGGATGAGTGGAAGGGTGGGTAGGTGTGTACTTGAAGGCGTGGGGAATGGGGAATGGGTGACCAAATACAGCACAGTTGTATGGGTCGGAGGTGATAGAAGAAAGGACACTGCCTTTGCAGACATAAATCCAAGCAAACAAAACCACAGTAGGGGTCAGGTTTCAGTAATTGACCACTCACCTTCTTGATTTTCTTACTGAAACTACAAAACCATAATCCCAAGCGTGGGGGTTATATCAGCCTGCTGAGCAAACAGGCTTCCTAATACAGCCGATGCATGGGAGGATCAGAGGAGCACTGGCCTCCTGCCTGGGAAAGCACTTCTGAGCCCAGCTATCACGATGATCTCTTGTACTTTACCTGATACATAAGCAGAGCAAGACCTGAAGTTGAGCAGGAGCCCCTTCCCCCAGCAGCAGCACCCCACATCATACCCAGCTCCCGCTGGGGAAAGTGGAGTGCCTCTGCTTGTCCCTGGGAGACTGTGGGTGTCAAGTTTACAGTCTAAGGTGAAGTTGCACGGAGTAGGCTGATTGGGGTCGGGGAATGACAACATAAAACTGCGGACTGCCACCTAGTGGATACTGGGCTGTATAACAGGCCTCCTTGCTCACCCTGGGCTGGGAATGAAACTGGACAAGCACATCATTAATTCAGCCTTTTCTGTTTATCTCTAGCTTGAACCAGGCAGGCCCTTACCATCCCCCAATGACCTCAAAAGAAAAATACTCATCAAAAATAAACGGCTGAAACCTGAGGTTGAAAAAAGTAAGTCAAAGACACACACCAGTGATGAAGCATACACTCACTGTGTGTGTGGACAATCCGGCAGTCTAGAGTGAAATCTATTTTAGAACCACTGATTTGGGAGACAAAGGGAACATAGAAGTATTGAGTATACTTTTCAGAGCTAAGGGGCCACATTGACATTTAAGTGTAGGTTCCTGCATTGGGAAAGCATATTCATATATTCATAAGGATGCAGGATTTGGAATGATCCCAAGGCAAAATGAGAAGAAAGTGGAAGAGGAATTTTAGAATTTATCAAGATAGAAGGAACTAGCGTCTTATCATTTGATATGCTCTAAAGTCCTCTTAATGGCTTTCCCTTCGCAGTTTGCCTCTGTGAGATATACATAACTAGGGGTCCTGGGTGAATATGTGAATGTGTCTATGTGTGGAAAGAGAGAAATGATTTTATATAGCTATCTCCCCTATATTCTCCTTGGAGATGGTCTTTGAAAATATTTTCTTTCAGCCAGTCTCTTAATTCAATGAATTGGTAGCATTAAATATTGGTATGATTGCATTGTGTTTTTACAAAACCTAGGTATTCTAGATTTTAAATTATAGAAATTATCATTTATTACAAAAACAATAATACCATGGTAAGATGAAAACAAAGAAAAATAAAAGAAAGTAATAAAACAGCACTAAATTATATATTTTACACATAGATACATGTACTATAGATACATGTTTAAACATAACACATTTTTATAAAACTGGGATCATGTTAAATATACTGATTTTGTATTATCTTTAATTCAACCAATGGAGTGTATTTACACTCCTACTAAAGTTACTACATACTAACTTTACTGATAATGTACGAAACACTATGCAGAATTTATGTGAGATATGCTACCGTTTAACCAGTCCCAAATTGATGGGTTTTCATTACTGTAAAAACAACAATAAACATGTGTCATTGTTCATTTTGTACATTTGCATAGCTTCTCCTAGGGTCAGTTGGTGCAATTGGAGTTGGTTGGCCAAAGCACATACACAGTTTATATTGTGATACATCTTGCTATACTGTCTTTCAGAAAAATCATACCAATTTACACTCTCACCAAAATGTATGAGAATGCTAGTTATATTCTTACTGCTGGCTCTTGGCCATCTTGTATGAATGTGTGCCTGACTGGTGGAAGGAAAATGAGACTTTAGTTTTTTTGATATTTATGTTTTTGGTAACTAGTTTCTTTATGTATCATTATTTATAATGTGCTTCTATATGTTTTCCCATTTTCAAAATTATTTCATCTGTCTTGCTGACTTACAAGAACTTTTTATACAGGAGGATAATAGTCTCAAGTCTATAAGTTGCAGATATTTTTCCTGAAGTTTTGTCACATCTCCCGTGTGCATGTCCCTTTTCTGTCATTTTAACACCATTATTCTCCAAACCATGGGCCTTTGTCACCAAGCCTTATATTCTCCTCAGTAACTGAGCCTTCATCTCAGGCTTAGGACCAGAACTTTTGGGCATTTCACCCATGCTCTCCCGTAGTTCTTCATCAAGTGTAGACAGTGTGGTGGTTGTGCATCATGTAAGAAGTCTGGCCAGCAGGTCCAGGTGAGACAGTATCTGGGTGAGGAATGTAGCCAGTAGGAACCTAGGCGATACATTCCCTTCTCAGTGGTGATCTGAGGACTCAGGCTTTGCAGGTGATCTAGCATCTGTCACCATCTCCTTCCTGTTGTTTTTTTTTTAATTTTTTTTATTGGTGTTCAATTTGCCAACATATAGCATAACACCCAGTGCTCATCCTGCCAAGTGCCTCCCTCAGTGCCCATCAGCCAGTCACCCCAAACCCCTGCCCACCCCCCCTTCCACCACCCCTTGTTCATTTCCCAGAGTTAGGTGTCTCTCATGTTTTGTCACCCTCACTGATAATTTCCTGTTTGTTTTGAATAACAGAACAGCTCGAGGCTTTGAAAAGCATGATGGAAGCTGGCGAATCTGCTGCCCCAGTTAGCATCCTAGAGGATGATAATGAAGAGGAAATAGAAAGTGGTGAGTTGGTTTTCTTTTAATTTACATGGTTTTCTTTTAATTTACATTTTTTTTTTACAAAAAAAGTTTATTTAAGTACTCTTTATACCCAACATGGGGCTTGAACTCATGAGCCTGAGATCAAGAGTCACATGCTCTTCCAACTGAACCAGCCAGGCAACCCACAAAAATACTTTCTAAAATAAGTAAAACATGAATTTATCTTCATGGATCCTTTTGTATAATGTGATGGTTTAATTCTTAATAGTCAAGTGTGTATTCATGCACCAGACTTTTAATCTTTTGGTATTTTTGTTTTTTCAAATGTTCCTTCCAGTTTACCTGGGCACTAGATTTTTGTGGCTTAGTCATCTCCCTTCCTGTTGTGCATTCAGCTGCTCAGCAAGAATTCAGAGCCATAGAATCCTTGCTATAAAAGGCAAGGGAATGGAATAAAAATAGCATTTTGCAATCTCTTCCTATAAACAGAAACATAAACTTCAATGTTTTAATTATAATAGTAGTAAGGCAAGTTACAAGGAAAGTAACTTGAGTAGGGACCCAGTATTAAATTTTCAAATTCTTTCAAATAACCAGCTCACCAGAATTACCAATATAAGTAGATAATTTTAGAAAAGGCAGCCTTGCTATAATATCTGACTATTACTACATACTATTTTTGGCCATTAGCCACTAAGTTTTGTTTACACGAGTCCTTGAAAGTTTGCAGTGTCTTTTAGAAAATTATCTTGCCATTATGATGGTATGCACAATTTCATTGCACAATGACTGGCCTTACTGTGTGCCTATTGTCTGACAGTGCCTGGATTCATGTAGTGGTTTGGGCCAATATTTGAATACTTACAGAACCTCTTCCTTTTATATGACCTGCTGAATGTTGAGTAGATTTTAGAAGATGTAGTAAGTGAAACCTGAAGCTGGAATTCATGCTCATAATAGGATGGCTATAAGATATCTTACTGGACAACTCACGGTGTGTGTATGCATGTCCATACAGGGTTCAGACTCTACTCCAGGAAAACAGACAATGATGTTTTCATTGTCATATATGCAGTGAGTGTCAGGGCAAGATATCTGGGATTTTCTGTCATTTTAAAATTATCTATTGCTGTAACAAACCATGCCCCAATCTAAGACTAACATAGCACTTTATTACTTTCTCTCATAGTTCTGGGGCCTCATGCTCACGCTAGTGCTTACCCTTAACTTTCCTGGGCATTTTCAGCACATGACTCTCCCGTAGGTTCTTCATCCAAGTGTAGACAGTGTGGTGGTTGTGCATCATGTAAGAAGTCTGGCCAGCAGGTCCAGAGCACCCCATGTGTCCTTTCCATGTGGTTTGGGCTTTTCATAGCATGGTGGCCAAGTTTCTAGATGGAGCACCCTGAGAGCCAGTGTTCCAAGAGTCAAAAAGTGGAAGCTGCTAAACTATTTGAAAACTATGCCCAGAACTGGCCTATTATCATTGCATGTATATTTTGTTCATCAAAGCAAAATTAAGGCCCGCCCAGTTTCGAGGGGGTGGTTGAGTGGCAAGATCACATTCTAGAATGGATATTCTTGCAACTGTCTTTGGAAAATGCTATCAAACCTGATGCCTATTACATTTATTTAATATTTTTTTTGCAAATAATAAACCTAAACATGATTTAAGAGTAAAATATTGAGGGGACACCTGGGTGGCTCAGCGGTTTGGCGCCTGCCTTTGGCCCAGGGTGTGATCCTAGAGTCCCGGGATCGAGTCCCACATCGGTCTCCCTGCATGGAGCCTGCTTCTCCCTCTGCCTGCATCTCTGTCTCTGTCTCTGTCTCTGTCTCTCTCTCTGTGTGTGTGTGTATGTGTGTGTCTCTCATGAATAAATAAAATCTTTAAACAAAGAAGTAAAATATTGAAAGGAATGTTATTTGAAAAGGTCAAGAAAATAGTTCTAAAAATTTGAAAAGATGAATGTTATGTAAAATCAGTTCCTTAACTCCAGTTATGTTTTATAGATGGTAGTCAAGAACCTTTAAGACATTACTAGATCCTACAATCCAGTAAAACAAACTGAAGAATAATGGAATAAATTAACAAGGAAAATAACAATAATATGAATGTCAACCACCGTTGTTGTACCAGCTGTGAATGTAGCAGTTTACATCACTGCCTTATCTAATCTTTGTTCTACCCAATGAAATAGGTATCATTACATGCAGTCTTCGGATAAGGAAGCTGAAGCTTAGGGAGGTAATGCAGTCACATGACCCTACAGCTAGTGAGCAGTGGTACTAAGATTCAATCCCAGAATTGCCTGACTTCAGGTTCAAGACCTTTTGTACCTTACAGTCCTGCCCTTATAATATACAGGAATATGAAGAGAACACTAATATGCAAAATTGTTTAAAAAAATTTTTAGAGGACAAAATGTGACTGATGGAGGTCAAAAGTGTGAAATTTCCTGAGCACACAGTAATGAAAAATGAGGGTCAGTGTGATTCCATTTATCATTCCTTCAGGGTACTTTCCCCCCTTTTATGTTCAGTATTCCTACAAAATATTTGGCTTTGGTGGCTCCCATGTTATTCAGTGTGAACAGAAATAATCATGTGGGATAGCATACATATAGAAAATTAGCTGTGAGGGCAAAATCATCCACTTGAATTTCTCTTTAAGGGTAAACAGGTTTCTGCTACACCAGTTATACATGATGCTTAGGTTCCCTCAGTGATGCCTGGCTTAATTCTGATCAACCAGTTGGCTGTAATTACCCTGGTGTCACAGTATGATCCTATGTACATGAATGGCTAGAGTCTCTAATTTAAATACTCCAACACAGCAGGCAAGAGGAAACCAAGCATAGCTCAAAAGGGTAGCCCTGCCTGGAGGCTGTAGGAAATAGCAAAGGCCCTTAGTCAATGAAAGTGTGTGCCCATTCATTAGGCAGGATTTCTATTCAGAAGGACACATGGCTTCCAGGACTGTGTGACAAACTTAGGGAATGCCAAAACTGTATGTGGTTGTGGTTGTGTCTGTGCATCCTTGCACAATCAAGAGATGGTAACATTCATTCATACAACTCTTTTCTCTTTTTAAAATTTATTATTTCAAGAGAGGGGGCAGGGAGGGAAGAGCGGAGGGAGAGGGACAAGCAGACTTCTGGCTGAGTGTGAAGCCCAATGTGGGGCTTGATCTTAGGACCCCAAGATCATGACCTGAGCCTAAACAAAGAGTCAGATACTTAAAAGACTGAGCCACCCAGGTGCCTCTTTTCATACTTTTTAAAATATCAAGTCTTTATGATTTGTTTGGGACACATTCCTTGACTTCAAGTAGTTTATACCTGGCTGGCCAGGTTAGACTAAGAGATAGATGAAATGGAAATCTGATAGTAATAGTAGGAAGTTTCAAAATCTTGGTTATACACTGTGGGTCATAGAAATCCAGTAGTCCTGGAATCTCGGTGTCATGCTAAGAATCTAGAGAAATCTAGGTCCATACTTACTCTGTGACCTCAGCTTTGTAAATCATATCTCTGAATCTGTCTCCTTATCTCTAGATTTTTTAAAAGACCTATTCCAGCTCCATAAATCTCTTTTTTTTTTCCTGCCAAAGGCCTATATGACCTGCTCTTTTCTCTTTGTAATCCTCTGCCTCCACTCATCCACTCATCAGAATACCAGTTCCAAAACGGGAGGGTGTCTGTCGGTCTTGCCTCACTTTTTTCCACATCTGGAATAACACTTTGCAAAAAAGCAATCCCTTAAGAAATTCCAAATCTAAGATACCATCAGTTGAAAGACTAAGAAAGAAAGATGCTGCTTCCTATTTGCTGTAAAATACCATTGATTGAAAAACGTGTTACAATACCAGAAATATTAATATGTGAAAAGAAATGCATCTGAGAACTGATGAAATAGTTTTTCATTGATTCTTGTTCTTGAGTTCTTTGCACATTTTAAACAAGCTTTAAAAAAAAAATCTCCAGGGATGCCTAGGTGGTTCAGTGATTGAGTGTCTGCCTTTGGCTCAGGACGTGATCCCAGGTTCCTGTGATCGAGTCCTACATCAGGCTCCCTGAGAGGAACCTGCTTCTCCTTCTGCCTATGTCTTGGCCAGTCTGTGTGTGTCTCTCATGAATAAATAAAATCTTAAAAAAAAAAATCTCCAATTCTTATGGGTCTGCTTCCTACTCTTGGGAGTCTATACTCAGAAATTATTTCCTTTTTTTCCAGAAGGAGTCCCTCATGCTCTGTGTGGTTACAGTGCTGGCCTTGTCCTGAGGCCTGTGGGTTTCTCCTAATGCTGGAAAGCTTGGGGGAAAAATCCCTAACCTGGGAGCTTTTTCAGAATGAGGATCATGGGAATCTAGATCTCACACCAGCATGTGGTTCATTTTTCTGTGGATGATTCTTTTTCCACTGACAGCCTTGGGAGGACAGAGTTCTTGTCACTTTCTGGACTGGTGGACTGAGTGCTTTTCTGCCTCATTTCTCAGCTTAGGCCATGCTCCTGGGGCATCAGCTTTATTTAGCACCCACTTCCAGCCTCCCAGTTAGCATAAGCCCAAGGAATGATTCTAGTCTGTTAAACCTAAGCCAGCTTTGACAGGAGGTTTACAGGTGTAGTACAGTCCTTCCAAGTTCTTTCTCTTTTATGTCACAACACACCCAGCTGCAAGTCACTATCCATAATATTCAAATAAACAGTCTGTTTTTAGAAATTATCAAGTGTATTTTCCTTTTCTTATATCTTCCTTGGTTTTCCCTAAGTCCCAGGGAAGATCAGAACACCCTTTGTAAGTCATAGATATTCCTGAGTGCTTGAGACTTTAATTTTTACAGTTAGTGTAATGGGATGGAAATAATCATTCACTTAAGAAAAATGCAGTAAGCATCATGCATGCCCATGGCAAATATGCTGGACGCAAGAGAAATAACAGCTAATGAGATGTGCTCCTTGGCCTTGAATAGGTAAGAGTTTAGTGAGAGTTTTATTTGAATAAATTTGCATATTTAAATGTTCCCACTTTTCATGTAACTTCTTTGGAAGAGTTTACACTCCACCCAAGGATATGAAGATCTGACTGACTGGCAGTAATTTAGCTTCATGGGTTTTCCTTTTATCTTTCACACAGCTGACCAAGAGGAGGAAGCTCACCCTGAATACAAATTTGGAAATGAACTTTCTGCTGATGACTTGGGTCACAAGGAGGCTGTTGCAAATAGTGTCAAGAAGGTCAGAGGCTTGGTGCCCCTCTTTTTCATGACTGTCAAGAAGAGGTAGCAGCTATTAGTTGTGAAATTTTTAAAATGTGACATCCACAAGAAAATAAAGTAGCCTATAATTGCCCTTCTACATTGGGTGACCAGGATCAATATCTTAATGCAAGATATGTACGATATTGTTAGGACATTGAGTTGCTCATTAGCCATGCCCAGTGTTGACCACCACCTATTTAGTATCCTTTAAGTAATATCATTTATTGCATTATTATTGATGAACAGGGAGACAACAATAACAGCCTGGTGACAAAGGTTAACATGTTGAAGTCATTAGCAAAATGGCCTACCTGAGCATCCCAAGCAAGCCCCTCATTAGAAAACCAGTCCTACAAGTTAGATATCTCCTCTCCCTCCTAATGTAGAAAAAACATGAAAGTATTTCCATCCATCTGACTATTCATCCATGAAAAATAATTGTTATATACCTGCTGGGTGCTAGGCATAGTCTAGGCCATAACAACCCAGAAAGGTCAAAACACAATTGGTTTCTGCTCTCATGGAGCTTATAGTCTGATGGGAGTTTATTTTTTTAATATTAAATTTATTTTTTATTGGTGTTCAATTTGCTAACATACAGAATAACACCCAGTGCTCATCCCATCAAGTGCCCCCCTCAGTGCCCGTCACCCAGTCACCCCCACCCCCCGCCCTCCTCCCCTTCCACCACCCCTAGTTCGTTTCCCAGAGTTAGGAGTCTTCATGTTCCGTCTCCATTTCTGATATTTCCTACCCATTTCTTCTCCCTTCCCTTCTTTTCCCTTTCACTATTATTTATATTCCCCAAATGAATGAGACCATATAATGTTTGTCCTTCTCCGATGGGAGTTTATCAGAAGGGAATAGGAAACAGACAACAAACCATTGATTATGTAATTACAATTTGTGATAAGTACTATCATGAAACTAAAAATGAGTGCTAAAATAGAGAGTAGCAAGGTTGAGGGAGTAGGGAAACCAGAACCACAAAGGTAAAGAGGAACCAGCCTTGCACAGACGTAGAGGAAGGGCCCCAGTTTTCTGATAAGACAATTGAGACACTAAATAGAGTGGATCCAGTGAGGGGCAGAGGGGAACAAGATGAGATCATACAAGCCAGTAGGAACTCTATGAGGCAAGATTCGGGGAGCTACTATGAGAAACTCAAATGGTAATTTAAATAGAATCTGAAGCCACTGAAAATGTTTAAAGAGGGCAATGCAGCCTGATAGGAGTTCTTCAGAAACCACTACAGTTACTGTATGGAGACTAGTTAGAAGGGAGAAAGAGTGGACACAGGAAGAGGAGGTAGACCAGGCTGTTGCACTCAGCCAGACCCCTAAGGCTTAAACCAGACAGTAGAGACAGGACTGAGTGGGTACAAGGTCTACTGAGGAAAAATAAAAACTTGCTGATGGACTGAATGTGGGCAATGAGGGGGAGAGAGGAAGCAAGATGACTCTCTGAGTCTGAGGAGCAGGGTGGACACTTGGGAAGACTTAAAGAGAAAGAACTCAGTGCTTCAAGTGGGGCGAGGTCTTTGAGGTCTTTGAGACACTCCAGGGGCAGTGCCACCTAGGCACCTGTAGCATTGACCCCTGGTGCTGTGTTCCATTTCCTGCCTGTGTTACCTCAGGTAAGTTACCAAAGTTCCCAGCTCCTGGGTTTTCTCAGCTGCAAAATGAAGATGATCACACCTATTTCATTGGTCTGTTGTGAAGAGTTGATGGGTTTAGGGTATGTAAAGAGCTTCCAGTGGTGCGTAGCACACAGTCATTCCCATGAAGGCATTCATTATTGCCGCTATATTATCATTTTCATCTTCACCATTGTTCTTAGCATTGTCAACACCTATATCTAGAACTAGTGAAGAGGTGTGGCTGGAGGTAGAACTGGGAGTTCAGGAGATAGGATTTGAAGCCTTGGAAATAAATGAGATGATCCATGGAAAGAGGCAGAGAAGATAAGCCAGAGAAGAAAAGTAAGGTATGGCCTGAGAAATAGGAGGGAAATCAATGAGATCAAGAAAGCCAAGAGAACAGAGAAAGGTAAGAAGAGAAGAGAGAGGAGGTTTTCTTCCCCTCCAGATTAATTGAAATATAATTGACACATAACATTGTGTAAGTTAAAAGTGTACATGTGATGAGTTGATACCTGTATGCACTTTGAAATGATTACCACAATAAGGTTAGTGAACATATCTATCACTTCACATTATTGTGTGTGTGTGTGTGTGGTAAGAACATTTAAGATCTGTTCTCTTAGTAACTTTCAAATACACAAGAAAGGACAGCCTGGGCGGCTCAGCGGTTTAGCACCTGCCTTTAGCCCAGGGCGTGATCCTGGAGACCCGGTATCGAGTACCACGTCGGGCTCCCTGCATGGAGACTGCTTCTCCCTCTGCCTGTGTCTCTGCCTCCCTCTCTCTGTGTCTCTCATGAGTAAATAAACAAAATCTTTAAAAATATATATATACAAGAGAATGTTGTTAACTATAGACACCATGCTATTTGTTAGATCCCCAGAACAAACTACTACTCTTGTGACTAGAATTTTGTCCCCTTTGACCGACATCTCCTCATTTCTTCCACCTCCTAGCCCCTGGTGGTTGGTTTTTGACTACTGTTGATTAATTCAATTCGAAGACTCAAAGTGTCTATTTAATATGGAGTCATTGGTGACCTTGAAAAGAGATGGTTTTTTTAAAAATTAATTAATTAATAATAAATTTATTTTTTATTGGTGTTCAATTTGCCAACATACAGAATAACACCCAGTGCTCATCCCGTCAAGTGCCCCCCTCAGTGCCCGTCACCCATTCGCCCTCACCCTCCACCCTCCTCCCCTTCCACCACCCCTAGTTCATTTCCCAGAGTTAGGAGTCTTCATGTTCTGTCTCCCTTTCTGATATTTCCTACCCATTTCTTCTCCCTTCCCTTCTATTCCCTTTCACTATTATTTATATTCCCCAAATGAATGAGAACATATAATGTTTGTTTGCCAACATAGTATATAACACCTAGTGCTCATCACATTACGTGCCCTCCTTACTGCCCATTACCCAGTTACCCATCCCCCTACCTACCTCCCCTTCTGCTCCCATTTGTTTCCCAGAATTAGGAGTCTCTCATGGGTTTGTCTTCCTCTCTAATTTTTCCCTATTCAGTTTCCCCTCCTTTCTTTATGGTACCTTTCACTACTGAAAAGAAAAGTTTCAATGATGTGGTGGACGCCACTGAAGCAGATGTGAATAAGTAGAGACTATACTTTTTGAGAAGTTTTGCTGTAAAGGGAAGTGAGGTACAGGCTGGTGGCTAACAGCAACCTGAGGAGTCAAGGGAGTGTTATTTGCAGAATGAATGAATCTGGAGTGTGTTTGCAAACTCTTGGAAATGGTGCCATAGAAAGGGAGAGATTAGTCTTGCAAGAGAGAGAAGGAATATAACTGCCTTTGAGTTCCCTGAGAAGGTGAGGGTAGATGGTATCATGGTGATGTGAAGGTGTGGTCTTTGATGGGAGCAGGGTTATTTAATCATTGAAGATGGTGGGTGAAAATGCAGGTAGGTGCCTATTTGGTAGTAGGAAAATGGGAAAGTGTTTAAAGAGCAAAAAGCCAAAGGAACATTTTGATTACACCCTCCCTCTTCTGATAGGGAGTATTGCCACTACTTTGAGATTCTTAGATGCCTACTAAGACTCAGTGCCTACCTTGATGCTACTTTAACCACATAAAGCCTTTATCAGTACCCACACAAGTGTTGAATTAACCATTCGTACTTGCCGCCCTTTACATATCAGGAGAGATTGCCACATCAAGTTATTTCCTAAACTCCATGACTAAATAATTTAGCTAATATAAGGAAACCTCTAAATAGACAAATACTGCAAACAAAGGAGGGAAATACTATTAAGATTTGTTTTGCTAGTATGTAAAACAGGCTGTTGTATCTTTCCAGTACTTATTTTGCCGATGGCTTTATGTCATCAATAGTTTTCCAGCTTCACAAATAAATAGAATAATAAGCCTACATATGTTTATTTAAATATTTACATATGTATTACTAGTAAATTTGGAATTTTGCCGTTTAGAGAAGTAAACAAATAATTATCTTTCTCTAATTTAGGCGTCGGATGACCTTGAACATGAAATCAACAAAAAGGTAAGAAAATAATTTCCTTGTGGAATTTTTTTATTACAAAATACTGTATGTGGCCCTCTAATATTGAACAGTTTGTACTAAATATGGTCAACTCTATCTCCCACTCCCGGCCTCATGCCATGGAATGTCAGGCTTACTCTTTATAATATTTAGATGCTTAATGCATCTAACTATGACAGTCTTCAAAAGAATTATTCACAGTGATGAAACGATTAATTCCTGATAAAAATCACAAAACTAGGGCAGGTGAATAGGATGATTTTCCTCAAAACAAGTGTTTAGTGCAGTCAGGCAGTTAGTTGGCATTAGAGATTTCATTCCTATAGGAGCACATAATCATCAACACATTGAATTTGAAATTAAAAGTGATCTACTAAGTCATCAGATGTTCTGGCATACTAGAAAGATGATCTTGTTTCTGACTACACTGGCATTTTATTTTATTTTATTTTATTAAATATTTTATTTATTTATTAGAGACAAACAGAGAGAGACAGACAGACAGGCAGAGGGAGAAGCAGGCTCCATGCAGGGAGCCCGATGTGGGACTCAATCCCGGGTCTCCAGGATCATGCCCTGGGCCAAAGGTGGCGCTAAACCGCTAAGCCACCGGGACTGCCCTACACTGGCTTTTTATAGGATCATTGGTTAATTTCGCACTGCATACATTCTAGGACTTTTATTTGATGTTAGTAGATATCGACTTTATTATAAGTAAAGTTACATTTTTAGTTTCTTTTGTCCTCTTGGACATTCTTCATGATACCACAGTGGTTTGTTTTATTGAGTAAATGTGAACGGTTTAATTACAATAGCAAGACTGGTGGCAATCACAGAAATTTGCCTTGTAATTTGATTCCCATACTTCAGAGCTTCAGAACATTATGTCTGGCTGTCTGTGGGGCCCTATCTTATTTGGAGTGAGACCCTATATTCTTAACTGTCTAAATAGTAAGTTCGGAATAGTAATGGTAAGTCTGATCTCAATCCCTCCCATGATGTTCATGAACTTCTCTTCTAGAATGTCATAAAGTATTGAGGTCAACAAAGCAGAGGTTGATGTTTAGTCCCTGCTATGTATTAACTAAGTAACTGTGACCACATTGTTTTAATCCTCAAGGCCCCAGTCAGTGAGTGGAACTCTAATCCTTACTCCACCTGGTTACTGGCAGTAATGAAGTGGTGCATACCGGAATTCAGCATGTAGTGCCCTATATGTGGTCCTGGTGTTACTAACACCCGAGAAAGGACTCAGACATGGCCTCTGCCCTTACTTGGGTGGACGGGACATATAAAGGAATGATTAAAAATAAAAATAAATTATATTATCTGATTGTTTATCTCAGGTTTCTTTTTTATTGGTGGAGTCAGCTTGATGATTTAGAATGCTCAGATTGTTAAATCATCAGATAAGACAGTCTGACCATTTTTTTAACTAATGAATTGATTCATATGGACTAAGCAGTTCCTCCGCCTATATCAGTCTATGCAGGAAGTCATGCCATAAAATGGAAAAACAACTTCCATGTGAATCAGAATCCCCTGGAAGGCTTGTTAAAGCAAAAATTCCTGGACCTCATCCTCAGAGTTTTCCGATGAAGTAAGTCTTCATCGGGTTTTCAAAGTTCTCAGCAAAATGTTGATTGTTTTTGAAAGTATTATTTTTATTGTTTACTTTGTTCTGATTTACCAAGAAATAAACCGAAATAATTTGTTTTCTATTTTCCTTTTTGTAAAATAATGCAATTTTGACATATCCTATGTAGGGGGTTAGCAGATTAGTTTCAGAATAAGCTTTTTAAAAATGTACCATAAACTACTTACATATGTGGCTTAAATTCTAGACCGGTATTAAGCAAAGTGTGGTCCCCAGACCAGCCACATCATTAGCACTTAGGAGCTAATGGAAATGGAAATACTTGGGCCTCACCTCAGACTCACTTCATCGGAAATGCTGATGATGAAGTACAGGAATTTATGTTTGACCAAGCCCTCCAGGGGATTCTGATACACATGGAAACTGTTTTTCCACCTTATGCCACAATTTGTGAAATTATAAATGATAATACCTGCTATATATATTTCATAGATTGCTGCGAACTTCCATTTACTTTTTTGACCGTTTTAAAGTCCTCTGGAAATCTTTTAAAAAAATGTAAGACTAGCCTTATATTTTATTATTGTCTCCTTTTCTATTATTAGGGGCTATGATAGACATGAACTTCTTTTTTCCTTTATGTAGACTCTATGCCCGATGTGGGGCTCAAATAATGACCCTCTGAGATCAAGAGTCGCATGCTCTACTGACTGAGCTAGGCACACACCCCAGACATGAACTTCTAAAATTATCTTGTAGCACAATTGAGAAAGAAAAGGTCTTTATCTTTCTATTTGTATGCAAAGATCATCTTTAGTGAGGATGTCTGTAGCATGTATCTATCTGTCCCACCGAGGTCCTCAACGTGCATATTCCTTTCATTGTGCTTGTAGGGCCTGGTTACTGTAGAAGATGAGCAGGCATGGATGGCATCATATAAGTATGTAGGTGCTACCACTAATATCCATCCATATTTGTCTACAATGATCAACTATGCACAGCCTGTAAAGTTTCAAGGTTTCCATGTGGCTGAAGGTAACACCAAAGGTTAAATTCTATTGCCTTTTTAGTCTGCTTTTATTATGCTGATGAGCTGTAATCTGACTTCTCACCATTTTTCTTGGCATCGGGGCAGCTCTCCCTCACCCTGTTTTAGTGTCACAGACCATGCGTGTAGTCTCGTGTCCTTGGCATGCAGTGACATTCCCTTGTCATTCCCTTCATCATCCACAAGGTGGCTCTGAGATACTGTGGATTTCGTAGCACTAGGAGAGCTCGGTATTGCTTCTTGCATTCGGTGTATTTTCATAAGACATCTTTTCATCAAAAACAGCCCTCCAAAACTGTACTGCAGTATTTTTAAACGTTAATAATCATTTTTGGGCTGGAGAAGCCATCATCGTCATCAAGTGTACATATTTCAGGGTTGGCTGTGTGGGACATCACACATAATTTGTTTAATGACTCCAAATTTAATCCATCACTATTTAAGTCAGCTGTCCTATCCACAAGATGTTAATGAAAGTAGGAGATACTGATAAGATAATGAAACATCTGCCTCCAAAGCCTCGTGATTCAGGATGTGATTATGTTTATTGCTTGTCTTTCCTCGAGGTTGGATGGGAGCATTTCTGAGTGCATCTTTATTTTTCTTTACAGAGCGCAATATTCATTATAACATGTCTTCTTTTAACGAGTCCGTTGGTCTAGGCTACTTGAAGACACATGCAATTGAATTTGTGAAGTATCCTTATGTAGTAAATGGAATGAATGGCAGGTGCACTTTGGGGTTGGCAGAAGTCTCTAAAACAGATAAATGGCTGATAGATCATTGTGGTTGTAGTGCTAATAAAATAGTATGTGTGAAAGACCACAGCAACTGAAAATCTGCACAAATGTGAATTGTTTTTATAGTCTACACAGTGAACTGTGGTTTTTCTCCCAAGCATCACTTAAAAATGTGAAATTTATTTTTGTTATCTGTGTGTCATTATTGGTCTATATTTATTGCTTCTGGAATACTCTTTTTTTTTCTGTTCTCCTTAATAAGTTACACAGTTATAACAAACGGCAAATGAGTCGCATTTACCCCAAGGGAGGCCGGGTTGATTCCAGTAATTACATGCCTCAAATTTTCTGGAATGCTGGCTGCCAGATGGTTTCGCTGAACTATCAAACCCCAGGTACGAACTGATGTCCAGTGACCTCAAATTCCAGGAGAACGCTTTGACAGGATGGTGCCAAACAGTTGCCATCAGTTGGCTGTGGGCATTTTTTAAAGGAAGCAGACATATGGCAAAACAATGTGATGTTGGATTTATGTAATGGTGAGATATGAAAAAACAAAAATAGAGCCATAAAAAGGGTAGAAGACAAAATATTTTGATTTAAATTGAATTTCCTTTCATAAATACCACAGCTAATCTGCCAAACATTGTCCCCTTTTCCACAGTATTTCTAATTTTTCTTCTTTTTTGGGTCATACTTATCTTCATTTCCAGAGACCAAATTAAATGAGAAAAATTTGAGTATCTCTGTACAGTAACTATGACTCATTTCTCCTTTAGAAAGTACCCTTCCCACTGTTAACATTCAGCAGATATCTATAATGCAGTGCCATGTCACCATAAAGGTACAGAATATGCTAAAGTAGACTCCACTAAGACAGTGTGTAAGGATTTATATATTCGTAGAGCCACTAATCTGTAACTTTGTCCTCCAAAGTGTATTCAAAGGCAAGTTTCCAATATATTATATTTTACCCTTCCCTGGAAGGAGAGAAGTAAATTTTTTAAATGCATAAACAATTTTTTAAGCTTTTAAAGTCTGTTAAGAGCTTAGGATTACAACTTTAAGATTAGAGATTTTAAAAAAATTACTAGGTTTCTAGATGTTTACCTAAAAGAGGTAAGAAGTATTCATGTGCTGTGGTTAATTCCATAGCCTGGTCCTTAAAAATGGTAAAACAAACCAAAACAAAAACCTTTTATTGTTCAGTCCTTTGCTATATGAGGGCATACCTCCTATCTTTCCTGATTTGGGAACATTTTTCTTCTCTAGTCCATCCACCCTACTTTGAGAGTTTCTCTCCACCTTGTTCCCTATTATTTGGACTGATTAAAAGGTCTTTTGACTTCTATCCCTTTGCCATGAATGTGGTCTTGACTGTGCTTCCCTGCCCTTGGTGGCACCTTCTCAGGGACCAGAAGCTGGAGTCAATTGTCTACACAGCATCTCCATTAGTCTTTTCTATACTAAACTATGACCAGGTACCGGCACAATCCCATAGTGTTTCTATCAGAGACCAAATACAAGAGTATCACTAATTTTACGTAAAAAAGAGAGAGAGAGAGAGGGTTCAACTTGTATTTGTATTTCCAGTTGTCAGTGAGTCCATTATATGGGTTAAATCATTCTAAACCAGTTCATTCACTAGGTCAGCTTGTTTTTTTCTGTAACGTTAAGATCAGTCACAACATGTTGAAGAAGGAAAAAAAATCCATCAGCTTATTCTTTTTTTTTTTTTTTTTTGCAAATGAGAAAAGAGAAGATTGTGTCCACTTGCTAGAGAAAAATCATAAGCATGCCCTGCCAGTGTAGTCTCCACTAGAAGAATTCTCCCTAAGTCTAAAAGTAGGAGCAAGCTACTGATTTTATTTTATTTAGTGTTTTTAATCAAGTTTGTACTCCTATGACCCTCCTGGATATCCCTAGCCTACCCTTAATCTGTGATCATAAGGTGCATTCTTCCCAGTTGAACATCTATACTCAACACTAATTGAACAATCCTTTGACTCATATATTGAATCCAATTTTTAAAGCAATTTTAAGCATCTCTATGAAAATATATTTTATGTTTAACTTAAACACAACATGATTTCAACAGGGAAGAAAGTTGTGTGCTCTCAACAGACCGAGAAGTACCTTGTAATGTTAAAAAGGAACTTTTGGCCTCGGATCAGTATCTGATTTCCATTGTTTAAAATCACCCATCATGGTTTTCTTTGTCCAGGAAGATGAGATGCTAAATTATTTTTGTCTCTTGACAGATTTAGCGATGCAATTGAATCAGGGAAAATTTGAGTATAATGGATCATGTGGGTGAGTAATGTGATTTAAACTGTTGTCGTCTTGTTCCTGAACTCCATACTACAGCTATATTGAAACTGTGTCATTTTTAATTAGGGGCTGCTCAATTTAAGCTGAGTTTGAGGGATGGGATAGAAATAATTGAAATCCCTAGATAGATTATATTTGCAAGTATACATTCTTCATCTGCCCAGTTTACTAAGCAGATTTAAAAAAAAAATCAGCCACAAATTAAGCAGTTTATAATACACACTCTAGAGTTTAATTCTCTGGCTTTAAATTTAAGAGTGGAAGTTTGTATAGGTATGATAGATAATGATTTCTGCTCATTTGGACATTAACTGGAAGCATAGATATTCAATATATGTTATTTTGCCTAAGAAATAGAGGAAGGAAGTTGATTTAACATGTAATGAAGTTGTGGGTGCCGATTTGAATTTAATACACCTAGGAAGAAAACTTTTTCCTGTCTTGATTCTTTTGCATGTCTTGTAAATAGCAGTTATCAAGAAATAATGCTCTGAATATTGTTCTAGTTTACTTAACTGGCATTCTTTAAAATCTGTGAACCAAAGAGTGAAATAAGAAATTTTAATTCCCTAATTTCATAGTGTAGAACACTGAAAGGTTAAATGAAACTGTGAAGTTAAATTCTATAGAGGAAAAAACTGTGTAGCCATGTTTTTCATCCCTGCATCTGCCCCCATGCCCCTAAGTTAATCCAATGGAGAGCCATCCCATCCATAATACTGTCGGGAAATCCTTGGCCTCTCTAGTTGAATACCTCATTTTTATCACTAAAACCAGCCAATCAAGATAACATTTTTCAGCAGCCGTGGGGTCAGAGTGCATACCCACACCTCTTCCTGCCTGCCAGATGGTTCTCTGCCAGTTCGTCTACACCCATGAGTAACCCACCACATGCATAGCTGGCACGTACATGATATTTTCCTCTACTGTGTGCTTTGAAAGAAATTAAAATCATATACCTAAACCAATACGTTAAATGTCAGTTACAGAAAGAAATAAAAATGATGCAATTCAGAAGGAAACCACGATATACACATTGTAGAATTTTTTTTAAAGCTCTGTTGTTGTTTAATGCATAATGTTCCTAACCAGGAGATTGATGGATGGGTCCCCAGGGGCAAGCTGAGGCTGCAGGGGGTGGTGGTGGTGGTGTGGGGCTAAAAGCTCCAGGCTAAAGCCCAGCTTTGAGCCCTAGCTCCTCCACCCTAGCTCTAGTTGCCTGGCATCTGTGGTAGATTCTGGGCCACCATCTTGTGCTCCATGAAATGAAGACCACAAAATTCATCACATTGGGTTTGTGGTGGCAGCCCAGGAAGGACAAAAAGGAGTGTATCTGAAGGTACTTCATAAACTGCAAATTTCTGTGCATAGGGAGGTTTAAGAAAAGCTTAGGACCTCATGGTGGATCACACACAGAAGCCAGGCAAGAATCATTAAGTGCTTTGTCCAAATTGGGCCTTTACAGAGTTCAGGGAGGCAGCTAGGGCCCTCATGGTTCATACCAGACACATCAGCCCTGGCGGGGCTCCCTCCTAGGAACCTTCCTTGTGGCCCCATGACACTAAAGTTTTCCCTTTTTTGCCTCAGCTGTCCAATGGCCCATACTTTCACAAGGAGAGGAACAGTCTCCAGATAGAGAGGTCCCAACAGGAGTTGTACCTGTATGCTCCATTTCTTTGCAGGATTTTCTGTTTCACCCTGGTTCACATGATCAGTGTCTCTCTTTTTTTTTTTTTTTTTAGATTTTATTTATTCATTATGGATACAGAGAGAGAGGCAGAGACATAGGCAGAGGGAGAAGCAGGCTCCTCCTGGAGATCCTGATGCGTGACTCGATCCCAGGAAGGATTCCTTGGGATCATGCCCTGAGTCAAAGGCAGATGCTCAACCACTGAGCTACCCAGGCACCCCTCAGTGTCTCCTTTTATGCACCACTGTTTATTTTCAGAATGCATTCACAGACAAGGGCAGTGCTCCTCTAGCCTGAACTCTGTGCTGAAGTGTTTGAGTGATGTGACCAAAAACCTAAGTCCTGTCATAGGGGCTAGAAAAATAGGATTGTTGAGTTCGGCAGCCCAACTTGGAGATGCATTGACCATAGCATTCAGTCATGTGTCATCATTCCCTCAGGCTTCCCTTTTGCCCACCCAGATGCAAAGGTCATCACTGACAGGAAAGAGGGAAGAAATCTTCTCAGTTGTCTGTTTCTCGGCTCTTCCGTGATGGAGTGGTCATAGCTGGTAGTCACAGGGCTGGCTCACCGGATGCATTCCCGGGGAGTGAGGGCATCCATGAAGCTCTGGTTTTCACTGCCTTGCCCTTGTGGTTCCCCTACTCACCTGCAGGGACTTGTTAAAAACTCCTTGATGGTGTGTCTGAAGACTGGGCTTCTGTAAAGAGGCATTCTGTACCTTTTAGGCTTAGGGTGACAAGCAGTAGCTGCTTTATGGAGAACAGCAGTGTGCAGAGCACATGGACACCCTCTGAATCCATCAACACTAATGAAACATTGGGAACCTTTCTGGAATTTCCTGTCTGCTCTCTGGGCTGATCTCTTGGGAGGCTGTGCCATTGGGCTCAGTAAGTCTGTTTTTTAGTAGGAAAGTGAGCAGTAGTTTATGATAGACTCATTTTAAAAATGAGCAAAAGTGTACAAATGTGGCATTTCTATAATTTCTAATGAAACAAAATAGAGCAAGTTCATTTTTCAAGTCTGCAGGCTTTCAGAGGAAATTGGGATTGGTCGATACCAAACTAGTAGGATTCAAGGATGCACACTTTTTGTAGAACTTTCTCAGATTAGGGATGCCTGGGTGGCTCAGTCGTTGAGCGTCTGCCTTCAGCTCACAGCATGATCCCAGAATCCCAGATTAAGTCCCGCATTGGACTCCCTGTGAGGAGGAGCCTGCTTCTCCCTCGGCCTGTGTCTCTGCCTCTCTCTCTCTCTCTCTCTCTCTCTCTCTCTCTCTCTCTCTGTCTCTCATGAATAAAAAAATCGTAAAAAAATAAATAAAAGATTAAAAAAAACTTTCTCAGATTGGAACATGTCTTGAATTCCATGACATCTTATAGTCAGCTATTTTGCTTTCTTGCTGGTAAAGAAGATAATGGATTATTGAACAATTGAACGTTGGGTGTGATGAAATAGGTTGTCCTTCCTTATGACCCCACCCTCTGATTCTTATGGCTCCTGTCCACCCATCTAGCTGAAGACCCTTCTCTACCTCCCTTGCTTTCCAAGGCCACAGAAAATCCTTAGGTCCCTTCACTTGTCATTGGCTTTGGCTTATGCCCATGCCCACCACACAGACTTGGATTCTTGGAATGAATTTATTTTCTGTGCCAAAAAACACCTGGCAGAACCAGCTACATAGTTTGTGGGGCCCAATGCAAAATGAAAATGAAGTCCTCCTTGTTCACAGATTAAGAATTTCAAGATGGTGGCTGCAAGAGCATTAAACCAAGCAGAGAGCCCTATGGGACACAGGTCCCATTGGTGCCTGGGGATCCCTGGACCTACACAGCCATTAGTGAGTGACAGCCTCTGCTGCATTGCAGGCCACCACAGGCCAGAACAGACACACCTTGAAGACAAGCTAGCTAGGGTCAGCCCCAGTCCAGGGCTTACCTCCTGGCCCTGTCAAACTTCTACATGCTCTCTTTTATTTTTTAAGTACATAAAATGAATACGTTACACCAAAGGTTGCCTGCTTTGGAGAATTAGACTCCATTGTCTTACCCTTTCCTCCTGGCGTTTCTTATTTTGGATCAGTTTATTCTCTCAGAGATTAGTTTTCTTCTAAGCAGATATGGAAGCAGGGAACATGGAAGAATGTTTTCGGCACTAGGAAATCATCAGTATCACAATTTTGTATTTTTGTTGAGAAAGGTGCCTTCAGAAATGGCTCTGGGGAATGGAGAGTACTGAGTCTCCAGGAAACTACTGCCCCTGTTGCTCTCAGGATGCAGAATCCCTCATTCCAAATGTTTCCTGTCCTGTGACAGCCAGAACCATCACCTGTTATCTCCCCTTGGAGCTAATGTCTGATGCTGGTAGGCTCTCCTGGAAGTAGTATGCATAATATTGTAGTTTCTCATTTCTTTACCATCCTAAGGCTTCAACTTTTGCTCTATCAATCATGTTTTCCAGTGGCTAACACTAGCCACAAAAAAAGGCCCAAATCAAAAACTCTGTAAACACAGGAAACCATCTCTTTTGTGCAGTTAGACAGCTTTTAAACTAACATTTAGGGTTGCATTCTCTTGGAGACAGGGGAAAGTTCAAAATCACCTTTAATATTTGAGCAATTCTGAAAACTCTCTATATCCTTGATTTAAAAATCATTGTTGTCCCTTGGAGGTTCTTCATTGATGATTACATCTCTAAGTCGAAGGTGGCTTTATTTTCTTTAACACTTTTTTGTTGGAACGTAGAAGATAGCAACAAATGACAACTTTGTGAAAACCACAAAAATGTGACTTGGAATCTTTCCTTAAGGAGAAATATCACACCTCAGAATCCTTTTAGGTTGGATTTTAAAAGATAATAAATTTGATATCATCTAGAGTTAAACTCAGTAAAAGTTATGCTTTTAAAGAACAGGAAAGATTTGATCCCTCTAATTTTTATTCTTTTACACTTAAAAGTAAACCTATAGTTTTGGGGAAAGTGCTTTTATCATCCCTTACCTGCTGCTCATATTAGTATGGAATTTCTCTTTGGTTATAGTTCTTTGTAACAAAAATATTTTTTCTTGGAGAGATCAAATTGTCTGATACAAGTTCAAACTGGGGGGTTATGGAATCTGGGTGAGGTGTAATTATGTGACTATAACAAAAGGGCATAAGGGGCAGATATTTGTGTAGTTAGGTCAATTTCATTTTTTTAAATTTATTTATTTATGATAGTCACAGAGAGAGAGAGAGAGAGAGAGAGAGGCAGAGACACAGGCAGAGGAGAAGCAGGCTCCATGCACCGGGAGCCCGATATGGGATTCGATCCCGGGTCTCCAGGATCGCGCCCTGAGCCAAAGGCAGGCGCCAAACCGCTGCGCCACCCAGGGATCCCTTAGGTCAATTTCAAAACATTTTCCTTACCTCAAAAAGAAAACTCCTACCCTTGTGCTCTTACCTCCCAGGATCCCCTGATCCCTATTCCCAGATGTAAGCAACTGCCATCTACTCTCTCTCTTTATATTTGTCTATACTGCACATTTTATAGAAATGGATTCATGTGATACGTCTTTTGGGACTGCCTTCTTTCACTTAGCATTATGTTTTCAAGGTTTATGTTGTAGCAGATACCAATACTTCATTTTCTTCTATTGTTAAGTTCCCATTGTATAGATATGCTACATATATATCTATACATATCTATACATATTCATCTATCAATAGGCATTTGGATTGTTTCTGTCTTTTGGTTATAAATAATGCTGTTATAATATTCACATACAAGTTTTTGTGTAGATATGTTTTCATTTTTCTTGGGTATATACTAAGAGTGGAATTACTGGGTCATTTGGCAACTCTGTTTAGCTGTTTGAGGAACTTCCAGACTATCTTATAATGTGCTGTGTCATTTTACACTCCCACCGACAATGTATGAGGGTTCCAATTTTTCTATGTCCTTGTCGACACTTAACTATTTGACTTTTTTACTATAGCCATCCTAATGTGTGTGTAACATCTCATTGTGATTTTGATTTGCTTATCAAATCAAAATTAGTTATCAGTTATCCCTGGTAACTAATGATTCTAAGTAAGCATCTTTTCGTGTCCCTATCAGCCATTTGTTTCTCTTTTTTGGAGAAATGTGTATTCAGATCACCTGCCCATTTTTTAACTGGGTTATTGTTTTTGACATATTGTAGACACAAACCTCTTATCAGATAGTTATGATTTGCAAATACTTTCTCCCAATTCTGTGGCTTGTATATTCACTGTCTTGATAGTGACTTTTGAAGTGCAAAAGTTTTATGATAAGGCCAAGTTTATCTTTTTTCTCTTGTTGCTTGTGCTTTTGATGCTATGTCTAAGACCCATTGCCAAGTCGTGAAGATTTATCCTTATTTTTCTTCTAAGAATTTTACCATTTTGGTTCGTATATTTAAGTCTTTGATTCATCTGGAGTTAATTTTTGTATACGGCGTGAGAGAAGGGGCTAATTTTATTCTTTTGCATGTGGCCATTACAGTTGTCCTAGCAACATTTGTTTAAAAGAATATTCTTTCTCCCATTGAAAAATCTTGGCATCCTTGTCAAAAACCAACTGATCAAAGATAAATGAATTTATTTATAGACTCCCATTTCTATCTCATTGATTTATATGTGCATCCTTACACCAATCAAGTGTACTGCCTTGATTACTGTTGCTTTGTAGAAAGTTTTGAAATTGAGAATTACGAAACTTTCAACTTTTGTTTTTCTTGCTTAAGGGTGGTTGGGCTATTCTTGGTCCTTGAGTTTTAGGATCAGCATGTCAATTTCTAAAGAAGCCAGTTGGGATTTGGATAGGGATTGAATCAGTATATCAATTTGGTGAATTGGTGCCACCTTAACCATATTGTCTTCTGATCCATGAACACAAGATGTCTTTCCATTTACTTAGATCTTCTTCAATATCTTTTTTTTTAAGGGTCTTTTTTTTAATTTTTATTTATTTATGATAGTCACACAGAGAGAGAGAGAGAGAGAGAGAGGCAGAGACACAGGCAGAGGGAGAAGCAGGCTCCATGCACTGGGAACCCGACATGGGATTCGATCCCGGGTCTCCAGGATCGCGCCCTGGGCCAAAGGCAGGCGCTAAACCGCTGCACCACCCAGGGATCCCCTAGATCTTCTTCAATATCTTTAAACAGTGTTTTGTAGTTTTCAAAGTATATGCACTTTGTTATATTTATTCCTAAGTATTTTATTCTTTTTTGTGCTATCATAAATGGAATCTTCTTAATTTCACTTTTGGATTTTTCATTGCTGGTATATAAAAATAAAATTGATTTTTGTATATTGGTTTTGTGTCCTGCAGCTTTGCTGAATTCATTTACTAGTTCTGATCATTTTTTTAAAAGATTTCTCCATTTATTTTAGAAAGAAAGCATATGAGGGGCTGAGGGGCAGAGGGAAAGAGTATTCAAGCGACTCCTCACTGAGCATGGAGCCCAGTGCAGGTTCAGTCTTACGACCCATGAGATCATGACCTGAGCCAAACCAAGAGTTGGACTTTCAACTGACAGCGACCCAGGCGCCCCCTGATCATTTTTTTAGTAGATTCCCTAGGGTAGATTCCTTAAATAGATTCTATATACAAGATCATGTCCTCTGTGACAAGAAGTTTTACTTATTTCTTTCCATAGATACCTTTTATTTCATTTTCTTGCCTAATTGCACTGGCCAGAAATAGGGAAATAATTACATCTTTATGTTTACCTGCCTCTAACTGAAATTTCGTGATTCTTTTTACTGTGAACATAGAAAACAATCTACATTAATATTAACAGTGTTACTGTTATAGATCTCACAAAATATTTTTATGCATATCAGTACTTTGAAGTTACAGTTATCAACTTGTCATCCTATCTCATAATTCAATGCAGTAATTAATACACAAAGTAGAATATCATGTACTCTACATATTTTAATAACTAGCTCATATAAATGGTTTTTCACTGGGGTATTTTTGGTATTTTATTTTGTACATATAAGAGTAATTATCTAAAGAGATCTATAGCATAAAAAACTTCAAGAGAATATAATAGTATTAGGAAACTCTAGATGTCACTGAGCCTGAAATCTAAAAACATCCTTCTTTTCTGTCTTCTCTTCAGATTAGGAAAGGAAAAGTTTCTTCAACCCTTAGAATTCCCTGCCTTAAAAGCCTAACTCCTAAATTAGAGATGGTGGGGGAGGGAGTACTTCATGTCCTGAAGCATGAGGGTTTTAGTCATTGTAAATGCAACTAATAAACTATTTCTATGCTTTTGTCCTACCAGGTACCTCCTCAAACCAGATTTCATGAGACGGCCCGATCGAACCTTTGATCCGTTCTCTGAAACGCCTGTCGATGGGGTTATTGCAGCCACTTGCTCAGTGCAGGTAGGGCCCCTGCTTGTCACAGAATTGTAAAAATGTGTGTGCAGATGGTCCTGGAAAAGCCTTAAGGAATCACATTGAAATATTTAATGTCACTCTATACAATCCATGTGTTGCTCTCAACTTTGGGATTCTCCTTCTTTTCCCTAAGAGATACATTTTGTTCACTAGTAAAACCATTAGCTACTTTCAACGGAAGACACCAGATCAAAAAAAGTGCCTAGTAGAGGATGTGAAGCAATAAGATTCATTGCTGGAGGAAGTGCAAAATGGTGCAACCACTTTGGAAGCATTCTCTTATCCTATAATCCAGCAATCGTGCTCCTGGGTATTTACCCAAATGAATTGAAACCTTACATCCATAAAAAAACCTACACAGAAATGTTTATAGCAGCTTTATTTGTAATTGCCAAAAATTACGCCAAAAAGGACAACCAAGATATCCTTCCACAGGTGATTGGATACACATAAACTATGATATATCCAGACAATGGGGTATTATTCAGTACTGAGAAGAAATAAGCTATCAAGTCATGAAAACACGTAGAGGAAACTTGCATGCATATTACTAAGTAAAAGAAGCAAATAAAAATACTACATACTGGGGCACCTGGGTGGCTCAGTGACTGAGCCTCTGCCTTTGGCTCAGGTTGTGATCCCAGGGTCCTGGGATCAAGTTCTGCATCGGTCTCCCCACAGGGAGCCTCCTTCTCCCTCTGCCTCTGTCTCTGCCTCTCTCTCTGTGTGTCTCTCATGAATAAAGAAATAAAATCTTAAAAAAATACTACATACTATATGGTTCTAATTACACGACATTCTGAAAAAGTGAAAACTGTAACAGTTTCACGGATGTGCACATAGGTCAAAACTGACCTTATTGTATACTTTAAAATATATGGTTTATTGTTTGTCAAATTTTACATTGAAAAACTTTCAAAATTGTGATCTATTCAATATATGAAAAAATCCCTGCTAAATGGCTATAGTCCTTTGGAAAGTAAATGAAAAAATAGTCTGTCCATGGCTTTATAATAGGTGGAATTTAATGCTGGTCTTTACAGATACATAGCACTGACCAATGTCAGTATTGGTAAGGGATAACAGCCAATAGGCAAATAGTAGCATTGCTTTTTTCTTCAGTGCATCTCTTTCTAAGACTTATAAAAGAATTAAGTAATGTATGGGAAGGCAGAACTTCAGAGCTGTAATGGGACATATTCCAACCCATCACTTTGTTGGCATTTCAGTGGAATTAAGCTGCTGTGGACGTTATTTCTTTGTATTACAGGATTCATCATTTTTTTCTTCTTTTTATAGACAGTTGTCAAAGGCAGAAACTCTGTCTTGAGCAGTTTTTTTTTTTTTTCGGCATAGAGTAGTTGTTCACTAATTTTTTAACTGAGTAAGGAATGAATACATTATTTCCACTGATAATTAAAATTTCTGAAGATAAACCAAAAATTTCTTACTTCCAGATTATTCATTGCTCTTGACCATTACTTGATTTCTCTCTCACTATATTTCTGTGTTGCTGCAGGTCATATCAGGTCAGTTTTTATCAGATAAGAAGATTGGTACGTACGTAGAAGTGGATATGTATGGGTTGCCCACCGACACTATCCGTAAGGAATTCCGAACTCGCATGGTGATGAACAATGGACTCAATCCAGTTTACAACGAAGAATCATTTGTGTTTCGGAAGGTAGGGCATTTTCAACGCGTCAGACTTGCTCAGCTAACCTACGGGCCACATGTTAATACAAAGAAGACATAGACACTACATGATATAGGGGCAATTATATAACTCAAATTGTCTTCTTTTTCTCTTCTTCCAATGGATAAGTACTTTAGATGTCTTACGATTTTTACTCCGTTTATCTCCTTGTCCATTTGGTTCTCCTTTCCTCCCGCAAGGAGCCCACCTTCTGTGTGGCAATGCTTACATTCCAGGTGTGCAATCTCCTTAGACTATGTCCTCACTGGTAGACATCATCATACACTGGAGAGTTCTTTTCTGCCCTGGCAGCTGGTAACTTACAGTGCTCCTTTAGCCAAGAGGATAGATAGGATGGTGCACCCAAAACTAAGGCCAATAAATGTCCTTAAATAGATTAGTTGGTATTGTCCTGTGCCTCTAGAACGTCTGGTACGTGTTGCCATCCCCCCAGTCTGTGCTTCTTATGCTATTTTGGGTTGGTGAGGGGAGGGAGCAGCGGAGGGGATCTTTCCTAATATTGTATCTTGATCTCAAGACCAATCACAATCATACTCTGTAATGATTCAGTTTTAAATCTTGTAATCATTTTTCCCTTTGTTTCTCTTTTGTCAGCATAAGATGTATTTAAAAAAAATTCACGCATTGGTAGTGCTGTCTCCAGATACAGCTATTTTTCTCTCTCACTTGCTCTGTTAGCCTAACCAAAATAGTTTCTTGCTGCTGCGTTAGCCACAGGTTTCCTGGTGTTTCTGCTCCATTTGTATGTCCTACAACACAGATAATTGGCTTCTTATCTTAACAAAAATGAGGATTAACAGTTTCAGAATAGACTAACTGGTTTACAGAAACCAGATTACAGAAGATCAGTAATTCAATGAAACAAACCAATGTGAGATTAAGGCTCTCCCTGTAATGTGAGCACCGTTATCCATGCAACCCACACTGCGACCTTCTCTCCTACGGTCAGGGTAGTATGTAAATTGCATTCGTAGCTGTCATGGGCCTTCTCCCTCCTAGGTTTTTTTTTTTTTTTTTTTAATATATATATATGGCCAGTGTTCTTTGGCAGAATGAATAATCCCTAGACACATTTCTAGAAATTCAGCAAGTTGACTTCAGACATTCTTTGTTTTCATTGAATAAGGAGACATCAAACTTGGTTTTACGTATAGTATTACTAGCCCCAGAAACAAGATGCTAGTTTTGTATCCTTTACTGTTGTTCAGAAGTTAAATTGCTTTTCATTGGTACCAAGTGATTTCACTTTTTATTCTCTCTTGTTTTGAATATTTTTGTTCTTTGCACTAGTCTCACAAGGCAAACTCCCTTATACCAAATGAGAAACAATAGAGTAAATAAAGTTGAATGAATTTTAGCTTGATTTCTCCTCTTCATCTTCACAAAATTGGATTAAATTATAATCTCTAGGCATAAATAGGCAACTGATCCATTGTCTAGTTTTAGATACAGTACTCAGATTAGCCAAGATGTCTTGGTTATTCTTAGCCAATGAATAGTCCTTCTTGATTTAAAACATTGGATTTTCTTTTGTCATGTTGCTATTTGATATCTGAATCAGAATTCTGCTTTCTGAGCTCAGATTTTATGTCTGCTTACTCATTTTGAAGATGGCAAACGTAGATGTCTTGAGTATATATTAACATTTCTAAGTGCCCCATCTCACTCTATCTAATATCCCAAAATATTAAAAACTGAGGAGTGCAAGAAAAAGGAAGAATCCAAATTTCTACATACATTGTCCTTTATACACAAAGCATTTCTTCAAGATACTTTCCATATTCTTAAAGACAGAGCTAGATGTTAGAAGCAGCCCAAGTAGGAGGCCGACCACAGGATTCAAAGGCAAGAGCCCCAATTCCAGGCCCAGCTGTCTCCATCTAAGAGATTAAGGGAAGTCATTTGATCTCTCAGTGTCTCCTTTTGCTTGTCCATTCTATGCATGGGGATGTGGAAAGATCACAAGAGTTGGACCAGTAATCTTTCACGTATGTTTCATCTAAAAGTTTTAATGAGATGATTTCCAGGAACCCTGTTCAATTGCTTTCTCAATGGCTTGTACAGTACAGCTTGCACAGTATCCTTTAGGAATGCAAACTTATCATGGGCTTCTTTTTACCGTCAAGGCATATTTAAGAACAGTGTGGATATGGTTCAGATTCCTAGAGTTGGGCCTCTTGGAAGCTGCTTTCCACAATACCCATGAGAGCTACCATTCTTTGTTTGCAGGTAATCCTCCCTGACCTGGCAGTCTTGAGAATAGCAGTGTATGACGACAACAATAGGCTGATAGGCCAGAGGATTCTTCCGCTGGATGGCCTCCAAGCAGGCTATCGACACATTTCCCTTCGAAACGAGGGAAATAAACCATTATCACTGCCAACGATTTTCTGCAATATTGTTCTTAAAACATATGTGCCTGATGGATTTGGAGGTAAGTTAAACATGTGAGTACAGAAGTCCTAAATTATAGGATTATAAAATATTTTACCAATGGTTAAAAAAAAAAGTCTGTTCCTATCCATGCTGCCAATCCTTGTAGCCTTGAAGAAGAAATCAAGGATAGATAGTAACTTCAGGTTTTCTAGGAAGAAATGAAAGGGCAAGGTTGTTATCTATAAGGTTCTTTCTTATTTTAAAATACTGTAATTTTATATCATTTATCAATTTTTATAAATATGTTTGTGAAGGATTTACTTACACCATCATCCAAAGGGAGAGAAAGACATAAGTAATATGGAACCATATTTATTTTATTTAAATTGAACTAAATTTTTTAGTTTAAATTGAACTCAAATATCAACATGCCTTGATTTTCTTCCAAATCCTCTAAAGAGTTCGTTTTCACACACACACACACACACACACACACACACACACACACACCACACACATCCCAGTCCTCCATCCACAGAAAACTACCTTTGGTTTTACTAAGGTAATCAATGGGAGAAATCAAAACCTGGACCAAATCATAGGATTTTGCTTACATCCAAATATATTGACTTTTTATAACCCTTAATTAAGCCAAAAACATTTAAAGGAAGACAGAGATCCTCTGTATTCTCCTAAGGAAACAGAATGATTGTGTCAAATTAACCAAGGGTGGAAATTCTAATTCTACTCCTTCCTGGCTGGATGACCTTGGGACAGTGACAACCTCTCAAATTCTCATTCCCTGTCCTGTAAAGTAAAGATACTCCTACTCCCTCCTTCATAGCATTCTTGTGAAGTGCTCATCATTATAGTACATGACATAGCAAGGCTCAAAAATGTGTGCACAGATGCATATGTGCTATCAATACAGATAAAATTTCTGTAGTATGCTGGAACACATAACAGTTTTGTTTGGGGAATGTGGGGTTATTTCGTGCGGGTTTTTGAAATAATGCTTGTATCTCTGGAGGGCAGATTTTCTCTAACCCTCACCTTTAACAACCAGATTGCAGATTCAAAAAGAGTGTGAACCATGAGGATTTTTGCAGTTACCAAATTCAGAGTAAAGACTCACTCCTCCTCCGCCGCCTCTGCCTTTCATTTAAAAAGGAAGCCTATATTAGAAGCCAGAACATACTGTAGCTGATAGAAGAGCACATAAAAGAGTCCGGGTGGGGTGCTGTAGGGCTGGTTAAGTGGATAATAAAGAGACAGGAGACCTGTACTATGTCTTTCCAAGCATCAGCAGATGCTTGGAATGAATTACACCATGTTCCACATACTTGAGCTTAGAAAGTAGGCAGTGCATAATACCTAATGCATTTTAGAAATGGCTGTATAAACAAATATTGTGGAAGATATACAGGTTTTCTCTCTGCATGGGTTACTTTTCAAATGGAATACTCTAATTTAGTCCAGGGAAATGGGCAGTTAGAATAGAAAAGGGAAAGAACTAATTTGTTGAGTTCCTTCTTCATGCCAAGCACTCTCCATAGAGCCTGGAAGTTGTAGACAGGGAAAGTGGGTGCATGTAGGTCTGTGCTGAAGAAATGTCTGAATTTATAGGGCAGCTCGTTCCTAATGTTGTTATTTGTGTATGTATTGATTCCGCTTAATCTCTTTAAAATAGTCTCATATATTTTTACATAAAGAGATTAATCTCTTTAAAAATAGTCTTATGTATTTTTTTCCTAATGTATCACTGTAATGACTTTTTATCAGAAGCCTTTGAAATTTCTGTACTCTGCTATCATGGATGGGATTCCGCAGTTGATGTCTTAACCGAAATTTGATTTTCAAAGACTGTTTATTCAAAATTTTCAGTCATTTCTTTTGAATGTAAAGAAACCGAGGATTTACATAAGGGACTTCCTTAGGAGAACAATATAAGAATATGAGAACCATCTTTTTCTAACTTTTTGATTTTCTTTATGGCTCTTGACTTACACAGTGTGTTGTTCTTGTTCCATCTGCATAACTAATCTCCCACATTCAGATCTGAACAATTATATGCTGAGCCAGCAGAGTAGGAAATCTATAGAGCCCCTGATCCCTAGAACATTGATAGACTATGTTGATTCTATAGGAAGAAGTTCAAAATGAAACTCTGCAGTCTTGCATGCCAGCATTTTCTAGGGAAGAAAAAGTAAATTGTTGATACATAGCTCAGATTTTTATATGGCTGAAGAAAGATAATATGGATTTATTCATTCCACAAATATGTTTAGTAGATTTTATTCTATAAAAGGTAAAATAGGGGCACCTGAGCAGCTCATCGGCTAAGCAACCAACTCTTGGTTTAGGCTCAAGTCATGATTTCAGGGTTGTGAGACTGAGCCCCAGCTTGGGCTCCTCACTCAGCCTAGAGTCTGCTTGAGATTCTTTCTCCCCCGTCTTCCTCCCCTTCTCCTCCTTCGCTCCTCCCCCTGCTCACATGTGCACATGCTTGCTCACATGCACCCTCTCTCAAATTAAAACAATCTTTAATTTTAAAAAGGGCACAATAGAGAATATATGTATCAGAAAGAGATTCTCCCAACACAAAGAATAAAAGGGTCATCCTTAAATTCACCACCCAGAGAGAGCTCTGTTGCCATATTGGTCCCTTTACTTCCAACTTCATTTCTATTTTAATTAAATGGATCTTATAGTACATAGTCTTTTGGACTCATTACTTCTGAGAGTTTATTTCCTCTTGACAGAGAATATTTTTATTATCTGCATGGGATTCGATTTTATGTATTATCCACAGTTTAGTTATTGATAAACATTGAAGTCATTTCCATTTTTTTCTTATAAAAAGTATTGTGCCTGGGAACCCTAAATATAGAGCTAATCATGATCATTTCCTGAAAATGAAATCTTTGAAGTGGAAGGAGTTGTATGTATATTTAAAGCTTTAGATGCAGATTGCCAAATAACCTATCAGCAGTGTATGAGATAAAACTTTTGTTAACATATACTAGTTCAATCAGTAAAAACAATTTCTTAGTATATTGATTTAAAATGTTTTTCTCAAAGGAAAAGATGTAGCCAATTCTTATTTAGTACCTACTCTATGGATAAGAGTTACAAAGTTGAAAAAGTCATCTATGCTTATCCTCAAGAGTTTTCCAACCCTGTACACATGTACATATGTGCATTTACATAAATAAGCGTAATTTATTTTATAAGTGCCCATAGGGTAGTACCCCAGAGGGTGTTTAGAGCATTTAACAAAGAAGTGCTTAATCAGAATGGGATTGAGGGGGGCGTGGCTATTTGAACCTTGAAAGATGACTCACAGCAGAGAAGTAAACTAGTATTCTCTCTAGAGAGGGAAGCAGCCAGGCCAAGGCCTTGATAAGAAAAGTGCTGAACTTATTTACTTATTCTGAGAAAGCTGAAACACAGAATATATGATGCTAAAACTGAAAAGTTCTGGTCCATGTTTGAGGATGCATCCTGAAAAGCTAGTATTACTTAGCAAGAGAGGTATGCTCTTCTTGTTGAATAGTTTTGGCACCTTAAAATACTCACATTTTCAGGACACTAAGTAATTTGGTAAATTATATTTTCTTAGTTTTCAGGTGGGTCAGTTTGTCTAAAATCACTTCACAAGTTTAGATTAATTACAGAAGTAAGATCTCTTATGCCTGACTAAGCTAATGAAATCTCAGCTTTTAAAATTCACCAAATACTTAACATAGGAATTATGTGTCTTTTAATCAGATAGCTAAAAGTGGACAATTTTTTTAAAAAAATCCATACTATAGTTTCACACAGCATTATTTGCATAAAAAAGTCAGAAACAACCTCAGTCTATCAGTAGAGATTGGTTAAATATGGAAGGCCATTCTGTGGAAGACCATGCATCTATTAAAAATAATGACTTGGATCTCAGTGTTCATAATAGAAAGATGACAGTGATTTATTATGAAGCGAAAAAGTAAATTGCAAAGATCCCATTATTACTCATGAAGACCCTTAGTTATCTGTTTATACATACACATAAAGTAGACAAAAAATTCTGGTAGGATATAAACCCACCTTTAGGAGTAGTTATCTCTTTGGGGGGGGGTGAGGATTTAGTGGAGCTGACCGACTGCATTGGACAACTTCCAGGAATATCACAGGGAACACACTATCCCATATGGCAGGACTCTACTTATTACTTCTGGATCATTTAGGTAAGCATATGTAACCTCTGGCAATTTTTAAAAATTGTATTTGCCCTATTTTTCTATAATAACTGTGTAATATGAATATAGCAAAAAGGAGAGTTTATATATATATGTTTTATTTTGAATTTAGAAAAAAATAAAATTATCCTGCTACCTAGATAGTTCTTTGATAACATTTTAAATAAAAGAAAGACATGAGTGTCTTAAAATAGCATAGGATTATAAAACATAAAGCATATCTGTATATGTGTAATAAATATGTATATCCACAAATGTACAGGGTATATGTATATGTGTATGTATCACATATATATTTCCTTTTTAATTTAACTCCAAAAGATAATATGATACACCCTGTTCTATGCTTTGCTTTATTTACGACTATATCTTGGAGAACATTCCTGCCAATGCATATAAGGCTTTTAAATTATTTTTAAAGGTTGTGTGCTATTCCAGTATGTGTATATACCACTCTCTCTTTACCCAGCCCTTTGGGTTGGATCAGTACGTACTCCCACCCATTATCTGTGAGACTGCCTACTCTGATTCACCATGGCCAATTCTGGATTCTAAAGAGTTCTCCCTTTTTTTTTTTCAGTAATGGCAGTAAACGTGGTATCTCATTGTTTTAATTTGTATATTTACAATTATGAGTCAGCTCAAGCCCATTTCATGTGTTTCTTGGTCACTTATATTCCTTTTCCTAAAGAATACTCTCTAGTACCCTTTGTGGGTTTTTTTTATTTTTATTTTTTGGGTTTTTTTAATTGAGTTATTTTTTTAAGTAATTGTTTATTCAAATCTTAATTTACTCCAAAGTCCTCTCTCTTTCTTT